GATATAAAAATTCTAACTAATTCAATAATAGCCAATGAAGTTGAAGAAAAATAAAAATAAAAAACACCTACCAACAAAGAGAAGCCCAGGTCCTGATTGGTTCACTGCTGAATTCTACTGGAACTTCAAAGAAGATCTAATCCCACTCAACCTCTAATCCCATCTCAACCTCTTTAATGAAACTGAAGTAGAATCAATACTCCCAAAGTAATTCCCTGTGAGCAGCTATTACCAAAGTCAGGGAAGAGGGGCCAGGGATTTAGCTCAGTGACATAAGCGCCTGCCTGGCAAGTGCAAGGTCATGAGTTCAATTCCTGGTACAAAAAAAAAAAAAAAAAATCAGGGAAGGATCCAACCACAAAAGAGAACTACAGGCCAATCTCCTTAATGAACATAGATGCAAAACTCCTCAGTGAGATACAGACAAAAAGAATGCAGCAAATTATAGAGAACATAATACACAAGACCAAGCAGGATTCATCAGAGGCATAAAAAGATGGTTCAACATACACAAAACCCAGACCAAAAAAAGGCATTTGACAAAGTCTAATGTTCATTCATGGTTAAAAAAAAACTAAAGAAAATGGGAATAAATGTCATTATTTCAATCTGATAAAAGCCATCTGTGACAAGCTAACAGCTAATATCATACTAAATGGTCAAAACCTGAAAGCTTTCACTCTAAAATCAGAAATATTGCAAGGATGCCCACTATCATCACTTCTCTTCATACAGTTCTGGAAACATTAGAACAATTAGGAATATGAGTAGGGAGAGGTTAAATTTTCATTATTTGCTGATGACATGACACTCTACAAAGAAGATCCCTCCAACTGTACCAAAAGATCCTAGCATTAACAACCAAATTTGGTACTAGTAGGATACAAAGTCAACTCTCAAAAACCAATTGCATTCCTGCATACAAATAATAAACTGATAAATTATGAAAACAATAGCATCCACAATAGCATCCAGAAAAATGAAATACTTAGGAATCAACCTAACAAAGGAAGTAAAAGCATTTTACATTGATAAATTACAATACTCTGTAAAAGGAGATTGAAGATAATATCAGAAAATGGAAAGATACACTCTGCTCTTGGATTGGCAGAATCAATAGAGTAAAAATGTCCATACTTCCAAAACTGTTACACAGATTTAATGCAATCCAAATCAAAATATCAACAGCACAAAACTAGAGAAAATAATCCTAAAATGCATAGGGACCCAGAGAGACCTAGAATAGCAATCTTGGCAATAAGAGTAAGCAGGGGGCATCATGATCTAGGACTTGAAGTTATACTACAAAGCTACCATGATAAAAACAGCATGGTACTGGCAAAGAAACAAACTTGAGGATCAATGGAACATAACAGACATGCATTTATCTTTGACAAAGGGACCAAATACCTTACTGGAAGACAGACAGCCTCTTTAATAAATGATGCTGAAAAAACTGGCTTTCCAAACGCTGAAGATTGAATCTAGATCCAAATGTCTCACTGTGCACTAAATCAAAATCAAAATAGATCAAAGATATGAATATTAAAACAGAAACACTTCATATCCTGGAAGGCAGAACAGGTAAAACTCTCAAAGACAGAGGTGCAGTGAAAGATTTTATGAACAAAACTTGATCACACAGGAAATACTACAAATAAATCAACAACTGGGATTACATCAAATCATAAAGCTTTCACATAGCAAAAAACCAACTAACAGGGTGCAGAGACAACCCACAGAGTTGGAAGAAATGTTTACCAGTCATTCCTCAAGTAAAGAACTAACATTGAGAATATATGAAGAACTTAAAAAATCAGATTCCTTAAATTTAAAGACCTAATCAAAAAATGGCATCTGAAATGAATACTTATCAGATGAAGAAGTACAAACAGCAAATTAATATATGGAAAAGTGTTAAACATCACTTGTTATTCAACAAATGCAAATTAGAACACTGACATTCCATCTCACTCCAGAAAGAATGGCTATCACCAAGAAATCAATAACAAAAGCTTGCGAGGCTGTGGAGAAAAGGGAAGCCTTCTCTATTACAGCTGGTGGGAATGTAAACAGTACAACCACTATGAGAATCAGTGGAGGGTCCTTAAAAAACGAAAACTAGAGATTCCAGTGGACCTGGTTGTTGCCCTCCTAGCTACCTTTCTGAAAGAGTTGAAAGCATCACTCTTCAGTGATACACACATACTCATGTTTAGAGACACAATTCATAATAGCTAACTCTTGGAAGTATCTCATATGCCCATCAACAGATGAATGAATTTTTAAGTGTGGTATTTATATACAATGGAGTACTACTCTGCCATAAAAAGAATAAACCTGAGTCATTTATAGGCAACAGGATGTCCTTCGAGATCATAACTGTAAGTGAAATAAATCGGACACACAAGTTCAAATGCTGTCTTGTTTCTCTTGTATCAGAAACTCAAAGAGCAAAAAAGGAGCAAAATGGAGGATAGATATTGGGAAGCAGGAAGAACGTGTTCAAATGGGAAGGGGGCCAGGAGAAGGGGAAGGGAAAGGGATTAAAGAGAATGGAAAGAAAAAATGGGCTGGGGAAGAGGGACTGAAGGAAGGGGAGGGGATGGGGAACAAAGAGTAAGCACAAGCTCCCCATGATGGGTGTGATCATTATGTATGGCAAATATGTACCAATAAAAATAAAGAAAAAAAGAAAAAGCCCAAAAAGGATCCCACAAGCTAACCACATGAATTACAAGGAAACTAAAACAAAGTTTAACAGCAAATAAGTATTTAGAATGCACATGTTCAAGTAGATTACAAATAACAAAATAAACTTATTTTAGCAGTTAATATTTTATTATTCATTACCTGCTATATGCTGTATAACAAGTAATAGATCAAAGTCAAAACATATGGAAGACTTTTTCACAACCGCTTGAAGACAGAATTGAGAGGAGCTCCTGCCAGGTCCTGTGGGCTCCGGGCAGGATCAGCCATGCTGTGCTCGGGGTGACTCCAGGGACGAGTCTGGACAGGCCCTAAGGGCAGTGATGGACACGTGGCCTTAGATTGCCACAGCCTGGTGTTTCACACTGCCTTCAGGTATGGAGCAGATCTGGATACAAATATCTCCATAATGAAAACACAGACTTCTCTGGTCAGTCTTGTTAGATGATGTCTTGGTTACTTTTCTCATTTCTGAGACCAAATAACCGATACCCCAAGTCAAAGGGGGAAAGGTTTAGTTAGCTCAGTCTGTAGAGGTTTCGGTCCATAACCACTGGCTCCAAGGCACGGTGGCACATGGCAGAGGGGCAGCCATTCGCGTTGGTGAAAGACACCAAAGCAATGGCACGAGGGAGGAGGGAACACACGGACAGAGAGAGTCAGAGAGAGCAAACAAGCCTCTTCCTGCCCCTTACACTGTATGCAGGCTACGGGCCCTCGGGTGGGCGTGGCATCACATTCTTTTTTTTTTGTCTTTTTGAGACAGGGTCTCACTATGCAGTTCAGGCTGGCCTTGAGCTCACTTTGTAGCCCAGGCTGGTCTCCAACTCGCAACAATCCTCCTGCCTCAGTCTCCCGAGTGCTGGGATTACAGGCGTGGGCCACCACGCCCGGCCGTAGCATCACATTCTTAATCCCAGCACTGGACCAGGAGCCAGTCACAAACACTAGATTCAGCTGCCTCTAAAAAGTGCCCCCCCCCCAGTCTGCATGAGTGTTTAGGGGAGACATCCAAACACAAACCATAACAGACAGCCACAGGGGCAAGCTCAGCACTCTCACCACTTGACGACCGTAGAGAGCACGACAGTTGGTTTCAGGTGGCTAGCATGCCGTGAATGCTTTTTCTTTGTCCGGATTTCCTGCTTCAGGGCTCTGCCTCCTCTCACAGCCAGGAGCAGATGGTGGATTCACTCGCTACCCAGGGACAGTAGCACATGCCACCCCAAGCCCTCCAGCCACTGCCACCACCCTGCACCTTCCGCAGCTTCAGTCCAGGACTCTGTGCTTTTGAAGTTTTAAATAAACGATGAGGGGGGAGGTTCTTTTCTCATCATGCCAGTTTGGGACCCTAAATGCCTCTTGTACTTGGGTGTTTATATCTTTCTGAAGATAGGAAATTTTCTATCATTTCACTGAATACATTTTTTTGGTACCTTTTAGTCTTGGAGCACTTATCTAATAAAAAAAAAAAACTTCACAAATTTTGTCTTTGAAATACAAATAAATTTTAAACACCTTTAAAAAAAAGTTTGTGCTGATGGTGACTTCACAATGTCATCTGCCTCCCACACACACACCCTTTTTTGGACAGGGTCTTGCTGTCAGCTCAGGCTGGCTTCAAACTTACTATGTCACCCATGATGGCCTCCGACTCAGTCCAGCTGCCTCAGCCTCCCACGTGCCAGGATTACAGGACGTGCCACTGACCCTGGACTTCCCTTTCCTTCCAAAGGAAGGTGACATGTTCCACTTCGTCTCCGCAGTCCCTGTTTAGCTGTCTTGGCATAATAATCAATAGTTAATAGAACATTCTTCCACTCTGAAATGCATGTTGGTCTGGATGACAAATTACTCCACTGCCTCCCATCAGGTGCAATGCGGGGTCCCCCGAGCTTTCCTGGCAGAGCCCCTCAGTCCTTGTTTCTCCACTGCTCTCTCCACATTCCTCCTCCAGAGCCAAGTAACCTCCCTTCTGACTTCTATGCCCTGGAGAACGCACATGAGGAGTAATCAAAGCCCGCCGGTGTCGGCCCGTGGGCCACCTCTCAGAGCGGTCCCTCCACACCAGATGCCGGCCACCTCCAGCCTTTAGGAGAGAGGCTCAGGCCAGTGCAGAACAGGGTACACTGACAGGTTTGGTCACCTCACGTCTCCCACTGTTAAAATCCCATCTCAGGGCCTCCAGAGACACTGGGCCAAGCCTGAGCCCAACAGAAGTGCTCCCTAAAGACAGGCAGTGCTGGTTCGGCCACGCAGCCTACAGACAGAGGCAGCCACAGGCAGGATTTTAGATGAATAAAATGAAACTTTATTCTCATATTGTGTGGAACATTTTTTGAAACAGGAACTGTTATCTGACCCCAAAACTCCCGACACTCTGAACATCTTAAAAGGTTACTTTCTGTACAATTATATAAATATCTTCAATTCATATGAAGGTGATGCTAATGGTCTTAAAAGTTTTAAAAATCAACACAATTAGATTCTTTAGAAAATCATTAGCTTAATTCCAAAACAAGAAACATTTCCCGAGCAAGAATAGAGAAGACAGATGGAGATGGGTACTAGGGAGGGACCGGCAGAAAACAGAAGAGACCGCAGACAGTACATGCAACAAAACCCTGAACGTGGATTTGAGAACATAAAACCTGGCGAAAACTATATTACACAAAAGAATCCAAACTGACCATCCAAGTGAGGGTGAAATGATCTCACGACCCACTGCTTTCTAAGTTGATACAACTAATACATCACCCGGAAGATGTGATCTTCCAAGAGCAAAGACTTTTTCTAGTCTATTCTTATCGAGCAAACTGAGTGAATTAGGGGAAAGCCTTCAGAGCCAACAGAGCTGTGCGTACACTGGCTGTGTGTGCTCAGGCAAGACCCCTAAGCCTCCCTCCCGGCTTTCTTGCTTGTAAAATGTGGACAGTAACATCTATGCTGTTACTTTGCCAAGGGGATAAGAGGTAATCTACCAAAAATACTAGCATCGCCCCTGGAAAGTAAGTGACACTCAATAAATAAAATAGTTTGAGTGTAAACTCGGGTTTTACTTTAATTTGATTCTGTCACCCTGCTCCCAAGGTTGGCCCGCCCCTGCCCCTCTGATGCCACACCATCACAAGAGCCACCAAAGGGTAAAATCAGATTATTTCTGACTCAGAAAACACGGGTGAGACTACAGTCCCTGAAAGGCAGGCCTGGCGCTGGGCTTGGTGGCCCAAGAGGTAGAGACGGACAGGCTGCTGTGTTTTGATCAAGGCCACAGCAACAGGTGTGAGGGGAACAGCTGTGGTGTTGGTAAAGGCGAGAACTCGGATAACAACCTACTAAGAACCACTCAGGCTGCTTAACAGCCCCAGATGATTCTGCTTTCGAAACTGACAACCAATGGTGTTGCTCAGTATGAAAGGATACGAGCTTCTAGCCCCTTCCTCAGCTTAGAAATCTGCTATTACTCATGTCAGGAATGTGTAAACAATTCTATGGCCCAATTAGAGCATCACGCAGCTCAAACTGAGAGTCTGGAACTAATGTCACAGTGTGGTGAAATGCCTGGGAAGTAATGAAAATCTAGTTCAAATGATTGAATACGCACAGAAAGAGCTTTGGAAGCTAAGGAAACATATTCAAGACTTCAACCAGCAGCAAAAGAACATGCAACTCACAGCTGGATCTAAACTGAGAGAAACAGTCAAATTAGGTGGCCCTTGGTCAGTAAGAATTATAAGACTTAACAGACTATTTTACAACTAGAAAATGAATTCTATCAATTAAGCAGCAACATCGAGAGGCAAACTAAGAAAACATCAGGCAAGACTTTTGAAAAGACAACTTGGAATGTAGAAAGGAAGAAACGCTGGGCTCTCACAAACCTCAGACATCTAGCCTTTCTCTGCACCAAGAAAGAAACAACCTCTCACAAAATCTGTTAGTGGGGTAAATGTTGAGAAAGCACAGAAATGTGGATTTTTCTATTAATTGTATCTGTGTATCTTTGTGAAATAAAGATTAAGTTGGTGGTATTTGCAGGGCTATTTTAAAAAAAAAAAAAGCAGATGTATGCTATGTCCCCCTCAGGTGTCCACTTGGCTCACATGGAGAACCGCTGTCCTCTCCCAGGACATTCCCACACACACTAGGGGCTCCTGGGACTCAGGCTCCAGTGCCTGGCTGGGCCCTGTGAGGTAACAGGGAGGCCCCCAGGCACCCACAGGGTGCCTGTGCCCTATGCCACAGACTGCACAGGAACACACATGCGCAGGCTCACGAGCCCCAGGACCTCGGAGGAAGCTGGATTTGGACTCCTGTCAGGCTCAGAGGCCTGCCTCTAGGGGACAGTGGAAGGACCCTGCAGGAGCCACTCGGCAACAAAGTGGGCTCCTTGGTGTAAAGGGGGGTACGGTGAGTTCGCAAGCAGGGGTGCAACCAGGAGGGGGGCAGGATCAGGCTAAGTGAGTAGGTCAGAGCAGGGTAGACGCTGGAGGGCAGCAGTCCCGCTCAGTGTGAAGGTCAGCAAGCACCCAGAGGGGGGGAAAGGAAGAGACTGTGCCAGCAGACAGCAACAGCTGCACTTGAGGTAAATGGTGATGCAGGCACGTGATGTCAAAGTCAGCCTTGCTGCAAGTTCTGGTAAGAGGCCTAGCCAGGGGTTTGAGCCCAAAAATCCTGTTCATTTCTCAGGTAGTCCTCCCAGGTATTATAGGCAGAGGTCTATGAGGAGCACTGATTTCCTCTTCCCTTCAGCAGTCTGAGCAAGTTCCATGCCAACAGCATGGGGAGGCCAGGATCCTTTGCCCTGCACCAGCAGGACCCATAAAGGGATGTCCTACCCAGCCCCTTCTGATGGCACCTCAGCAAAGCCCAGAGCTGCAGTTAGGGACAACAGAAACACCCCAGGAATGGGAGGTCCCAAGACGTGGGCAAGCTTCATGCCCATACGCTGTTTGTACCACGCCTGGCTCAACCACAGCCAGCAGATGTGAGTTCCCACGGCAGCCCCTGGCTCTGCGCTCAGAGCTTTTACATGTACTGCTCCTCATCCCTGTCGTTCAGAAGCAGAGACCACTTGTCCCCACCATCGTCCATGGTGGCACTGTGCCGAGAAAGCCTGTCTGACGTCAGGGAGGACAGAGACACCTGGCTGACGTAGCTGACCTGGTCCCACGGCGTGGGCCTGGGGGAATCTCGCCGTCGGTCATCCATGCCCACATGCACGCTGACCTGGGATGCGCTCAGAGGCTTCATGCGACCATGGGCCTGCATCTCGTACCTCTCCATGTCGGGTTTCTTGTAGCTGGAAAGCAAAAACAGCATGTGAGCCAGCCGGGACACACAGCTCCCCTCTTCATTTTAAAGCCTGATGAAGACTTCCCAACCCAAGCGGGTCTTTCCATCACAGACATTATCAAAACCTGATAGGTTTAGAAGAGAAGGACACCGAACTCCCATGTTCAAGCAAAGTCCACATGGTTTAGAAATTTCCTGGGCAAACACGTTGAACACAGGTTGCCATTAACTTTTGCTAAGTCCTGGGCATTAGTGGCAAACACCTGTAACCCCAGCACTTTGGAAGCTGAGATAGAAGAACTGATGTGAGTTCGAGGCCGGCCTGGGCTACACAGTGAGACTGTGTCTTGGAAAACCAAAAAATCCTTTTGCTAAGCAAATGCATCAATAAATAAATAAATGAACACCTTTTTTAAAAAGGCAAAATAACAACACACAGGGACCCCATGTGTACACGACAGCTGCATGAGGAGCCACTAAACACAGGAGTGAGGAGAGCTAGCACACGGCGGCTGGTAGGAGTGGATTATATCCTGCTAGGTCACTGTACACACCACTCGGGCTTCCCTGTGGCGTGGCCTCTGGTGACTGGGGACAAGGGGCCCGTTCTCACCCAGGAAGCGAGCGCAGGGGAGGAAGGGGCCTTGGGAGACTCTCAGGCAAGCGCTCCTGCCCTGGACTCACCACTTGAGCTGCAGAGACGACAGCACCACAGACACGGAGGAGGCCGCCATGGCCGCCGAGCCCATCCACGGCTGCAGCACGATGCCAATGGGCATGAAGACACCTGCCGAGGGGGAGGCAGGCGCTCACCTGCTGCCTGGGGACAGCAGGGACCCCACCTGCAGCCACTGTGAGGGGAGCCCTCTTCAGCCACCCAGAGGACCCTGTCCCCGGCTCTGAGGTAGAGCCATCGAGAAGGCTGGCAGTGGGTACTGTCGGGAGGAACTGAATGTCTTCCACCTGCCTGGCCCAACCATGCACAGATGGCACTGCCAGGCTCGGGGAGCAGGAGTGACAGGGTGGGGCAGGCACAGAGGGAGAAGGCAGAGCTACAGAGGGCCAGGAACCAGTGCCCCGAGACTCAGTCCCATGTGGATAAATGCTGCCATGGCCACAGGCCTCGTGTACACAGATCATCCACCCTCCAGAGCTTCCTATACCAGGGAAGAGAGAAATGAGAGCCAGGCCCCAGGCAGTCGCAGACACGGCCTCTCAAGGGATAGTTACTGTCTGTGGCAGGAGTGCAGCCAGAGAGAATTAAGCTCCTGAGTTGCCTCTGGGGCAGGAAGAGCAGTGGCCTGACTCCCAGGCCTGCAGGCTAAGGCAGACCTGACAATCCCTGTTACGGGAGTCACCACTAACCACTTGGACATAATAAGGTCAGAGACAGGAAGGTCAGATTTAAGAACTCCAGGTCCCCTCGGCCCACGCAGAAGTGCTGCCTTGCACAAGCACCCGGAACTTATCCTTGCGTGGTTCACAGGATTCAAAGGCAGGAGAGGGAGGAATTACAAAGCAGAAAAACCAATTCTCTCCATGGTCATTCGTGTGAGTTGGAGTAAAACCTGGACATTAGTCATTTTCAAGACAAGGTTCTGAGACACCATTATTGTGTCCAGCACATGGCACACTGCATATAACTCTCCTTAACGGGCATTCTTCAGACCATATGTCTTAGTAAGTGGTTCAGAAAAGAGGGCCACAGTAAATAAGGAGCCATGCACCTTGACCAGCTTTTGAGAAAGGACCAGAATGAATGAAGCACTGGGGTTCGCTCGGCAGTTTCTCATTTGCCTTTAGTGACATATAAAGAAGGAACAAAAACCCCCACGTTTCCACACTCATTGTGCCTAGCCAGCTAGCCGGGGAGGTGTGCAGCCAACCAAGCTCAGCAGGGTCCTGGCAGAGAAAGACCTATTTGGTGGCCAGAGACCAAAGGTGACACAGCAGCTGAGAGCCCCCCAGCCTACCTGCAGCAATGGGTATCCCCACCATGTTGTAAATCAGTGCCAGCACCAGGTTGACACGGATCCTGCGGACAGTTCTTTTGGAGAGGTGAATGCTGGCCACCACATCCAGTAAGTCGTTCTACAGGACAGGAGCATGCTGTGTAAGGGGCCTGGTCCCCTGCCCTCAGCCCTCACCACCACCTGGATGTAGCCCAACTCACTCTGATGAGAACCACATCAGCTGCCTCAATGGCAACATCTGTGCCACTCCCGATGGCAATGCCCACATCGGCTTGAGCCAAGGCTGGGGAGTCATTTACCCCATCTCCCACCATGGCGACTTTCTTCCCTTCATTCTGGAGCTCCTGAACCTTGGCCACCTTGTGAGAAGGCAACACTTCTGCAAAGACTTTTTTGATCCCAACCTAAAAGGAGAGGAAATCACACCCAGTGTTGGCAAAAGACACCAAACAGCAGGAGTCACCCGTCCTTCTCCTCTCTGCCTCCCACATACAGTCAATCACCTCAGTTAAACATGCCTTGCAGACTCGAGGTCACAGGGCAAGTAGACTGCATGCTGCTTCCCTGTGCTCTCCCTTGGCTTAGGCCCCATTAGTCTGCCTTTTCCAGCTTGGCCACCCAACTCTTCTGCATGTTATCTCAGCCGCTTGTTCAGAAGAGCAACCATCTGGTTGTGTTACTGTTGTGCTTCAGTCCTCCAGTGGATCCTGAGGATAGTATTTAAATTCTCAGGGTTCTGCCCTCCATGTACCACCTAGGTCTTGCCCCTACCTCCTGGCCAGCAGCTGATGCCACATTCAAGACTGTTCCATTGAGCAGAATGGCATCTACGAGTCCCTGCACCACTCTGCACCCCGAGGGGTGCTCAGGCTGGCTACTCTCCTTGGAAAAGGTTCAGATCCTTCATGCTTCCTCCCATTTCTTCATCTGACAACTCCTGACTCAAGCAGCCTCTCTGCTGGGAAGCTGTCCCCTGCCCCTGCCAGGCTAAGAGAAGGCTGCTCCTTGGCAGCCCTAGGGTCCCTGTATACTTCCGCTGGAGTCCTGAGCATTCAAGGCTATACTGGGGCAAGGTCCATCCTTCCTCCTGGGTCACACACCCTTCAAAGGCAGGGCCCCTCATCATTCCTCTCTGTAGTCCTGTAACCTGGCATTCTGCCTGGCTGTCGTCATCACAGTGCCAGGTACTTGCTAAAGGGATGAACAGGTTTTAACTGGGAACAGGAGGCCGATGCTCAGCCAGTCCAGGAATGAAGGCCATGCACAAAACAGGGGTATGGCTGCTTCTCCATAAGCAGCAATTACCTTTCACAGGCACACAAGTTTGCAGACATCTGGGTGAGTAGGGATGGGCAGGAGTACAATTTCCAGAATTCACACCAGAGCTATTTCTGTGTTGGGTCAGCACTGTGCTGACCACTGAAGAAATGCCCAGGATCCAGGCATTTATCTGGGTATACAAATGGGAAAATGTGCTCTGAACTAAAAGGTTAGATCACCTATAGTCTTTTTGGGAAATGTTCAAAGAACACTGGAACTGCTTTTCCATGGCTGCACAGCAGGGGAACAGGGCAGAAGCAAGGCTCAGTGTTGATGCCCTGGTGCTTCATTTATCTCTTGTTTCTGTGAGCTTGATACAATTTTTACTGTTAAAGGAAAGAGATATCACTGCTCCCCAGCCTTACCTGGGTGGCAATGGCTCTGGCCGTCTTCCGGTTGTCCCCTGTGATCAGGACCACGTCCACACCCATGCTTTTCAGTGTGTGCACTGCCAGGGCCGCCTCTGGCTTGACAGCATCTGCGATGGCGATCATCCCGCAAAGCACACCTGGAGCAAACCACACGCAGTCAGCAAAGGTGCAGGGCTACACACAAGACGTGAGGATTTGCAACAGTTCCCATCATGTAAGGTTACACGAAAACAAAACACCAAAGCATGGAACGTGTTATAACCATAACACGTTCTGGAGACATACAGGAGCCTGAAAGGAGACCGAAAATTCACCATGGCCACGTGAGGGGTACAACTCTCAATGATTTCACTGTATTCTTTACAACCTCCGGATTTTCCAAATTTTCCCACTGTTCCATATGTTACTTTACAAAGAGCCTATTGCATCATAAGAATTCAATACATGTTTTACATGTTGCCATTAAAATATGAGAAATACAGCAAATGTTAAAGGGATGGACATTCAAACTAAAAACTTTAACTCCTTTTTTACTTTCCTAAAAAAAGTTCTGCATAAATTTTGAGACAAGATTAAATCACTAAGTTACCCATGTAGAGCTCAAACTTGTGATCCTCCTGCCTCAGCATCCAGCAGAGTGAATTTTTATAGACAGAGGAAGATTGGGAGCAGAGAATAGGGTGCATGGCATGGCCTGCTTCCCTACTTCTGCCCAGTCTGGCCTGAACTGAGGAGACCGAAGGTGTGTTTATGAGGACTTCAGAGGAGAGAGAGAGAGAGAGAGAGAGAGAGAGAGAGAGAGAGAGAGAATGAGGGAGGAAGACATCGGCTGGAGTACTCAGAGCGCAGGGCCATGTTGTTAGTTCTGTGCACAGAGTTTGACTTCTATTAGCAGAAAGTGGCATGAGGAAAGTGCTCTGGGGCAGACAGCCCAGGGGACAAGCAGGGTGTGAAGATGCACAGAGTCACGGGAGCTCTGTGCGCAACAATCTGCTGCCAGTCAGGTGCGGTGAGCTGCAGGGACCTCCTGTGTAAAGGCCTCCTACAGTCAGACCTTTTGGAAGAGGATGCCTGGGTGTCTGTACTGCTGAGTGGGAAGGGTCGCTTTAAAGTGCCAATCTTTAAAGTGCCAATCTGGGTGGGAGCAGAGATGACACTGAATACAGTTAGCATCCCAAGGACAAGTGGGCTGATAGAGAGCCCAGCTGGCTCCAGGCAAGGCAGGGAGGGTGAGACGGAAAACACCTCAGGGAGCGGAGATGAGGCAGGAAGGGAGGGAAGAGCCTCTTTTGCCTGACATGCCCGGGAAACTGTATTCAACCAGAGCAGAAGGCGGGCTGGGGCAGGGAGATACCGTCAATCGCCACCAGGATGGCCGTCTGTCCTTTCATCTCGTGATCGGTCATGGCATCACTGACGTCGCTGGAGATGGTTAAGCCATTGCGCCGCATCCACTCACGGTTTCCAATCAGCACAGAGAAGGTCTGGGGTTCTGCATCTATTCAAAGAAAGGAGTTACTGCTAACAGCCCAGCTTTGCAATGGACTGAAACCTGGGAATCCTTTTGACAGCATAACTAATGGCCATTTAACCCTTATGAAAGACTACAACCTGGAGGTGACTTTTGTAACAACATCCTTAGCGGGCCAGGGAAAAAGTATAACTAATGTGTAGAACAGGTGGATATAAATTAAATGGGACATTAGTAGTACATGTCACATGTGTAAAAATGCCATAGACATACTAATTGCCATGTAGAACCCTTATTATTAGTGTCTTTAAGAAATCTGTTGATTCTTCTTTGGGCTCTGAAGCAGTTAGCTTTCTGCCCAGCGCGGGCACGTGTGACTGGACTCACTAAAAACCCAAAGTCAGTCAACGAATAACCAGGTCAGTCTATGTCTAAGACATATTTTATTCTATGCCTCCAAAAAGGCCAGGTGGGTCTTTCCTGTCGCCTCCTGATGGTGAGTGTTCCTGAAGTGCCACTGTATCCACCAGTCTCTGAATCTTCTAATGGTTATGCTGAGCTTTTAAATCACTAGAAAGTAGAGGTGGCTTCTAACAATAACACTTAAATCAAAACTTAGCTACTCGCATACTTAAGAAAAAACACTACACCCAAGTTCTTGAGGTACTCGATGTTTTCCTTCCACTTAAGGTTACAGCTGGCAAGCTGTTCATGGACTAAAGCAGACAGCCGCCACCCTGCACAGCAACCCTTCTTCGCTTGAGCAGACCACTCCACTCCATCTGCTTCCAGGTCAGCTCTGTAAATACTGCACACCCTGTGAAAGCTCACCCATATGGGAAGGACACAGGGAGAACAAAGGTCGGTCTCACCTGTTCACCTAGAAGCTTTTGAGAAGTATGATCAACTTGGGCTATAAAAGAGGAAACTCAAAATTACAGGTCAATGAAGTGACCTCCCTGGATATGTCAACACTATTTTGGCCCGCCAGAAACATCAGATTTTAGATACATCAGAGCATGCCAGAGAGAAACTGTGGGCTTTCCTGAGAGTGGCAAGTGTGGAACGCCCAGCCACAAGCCACCCATGGAGCTCCCCATGGTTGGCCCACCACTCCCAACTGAGACACAGGGACAAAGATCAGGGACACTTTACCTGGAGGGGGGCCAATTCCCTTCAGGTGACCAGCCTGCCCACTCAGTGGGCGCTCACTCTGGGACAGGATGGCTTCCACATTGCTGACTTTGCAGCTGATTCCACAACCTGGCACCGCCTGGAAGTCCGTGCAGTATCCCAAGGTCTCTGTTCCAAGTTCCTTGGGAGGCAGGGAAGAGGGAGAGGGGTGAGAACCCAGAGAAGGGCAGGACCAAGGTCAGGCTGGCAGTGAGAGAAAAGAGGGAGGTGGCACTGAGGGGAAAGCTAGGGAAATCGGCTGCTAACTCAGCAGCAAGCACTAAACTGAGTGGTACCAGGCAGCCTAACCTGTCCGTGGGCAGCTGCTTTCATACCACACGTTCAAAGAAAGCAATTTCTACGCTGCAAGTAATTTCATAAAAGTGACAGAGTAACAAAGCTATTTGAAGTGACCGAGATACTCTGTGTATGTCAGATCCTGGAGCGGGGACCGTGAGGAGGGAGGGGAGGATGCATGCCGAGCAGCATCGAGGGCCACTCAGGAGCACACGCCCTCCTCCTAACCTGCCAGGAAGCTAGCAGATGGCAGAGTGCTGGGCCCACAGAAAGGACAAATCAAGAAATGAGGCTTCTGCAAACTTCCCATCCAGGCAGAGGTGCCATGTCACCCACCTACTTACTGTCACAGGACTTGGGCAGACAGTTTGCAATCTGTCAGCCCTGCATCCTGGCGTAGTCTGCCAAACGGAGAAGGAAAAAGGCCCTCTCCTACAGGAGGAGGCTAATGCTTCCCAGGGCCCTTGGTTCACTCTGTGGGCTCAGCCCCAGGTCCCCCACTCCCATTTCACATCTGTGTCCCCTGACTCTAAGCCTCACAAAGGTCTGCATTTCTGGATTACCTTTCATCCCCCGGCTTCAGGACAAAGCTCCTCAAAGGCACAGGTCACATCTCTCTGGTTTTGTCCTGAATCCAGCACCAAACACATGCTCAGCAAGTGGCCATGATACTGGTATCTCAGGAGGGCATGCAGTGAGGAGGGAGGACCGGGCCGGGGTGAGGGGTGGTTGTGGAGTGGCACTGAGGTCTACGTACCTCTTTACAGTATTTGGTGACTGCCAAGCCCAGGGGATGTTCACTGCTGGCCTCCGCAGTACCCACCACAGCCAGAACTTTCCTGAGGGGCAGTGTAGCCATGTCGACAAGCAGCAGGACTCGCATGACCCTGGGGACCCCGTGTGTAATGGTGCCAGTCTTGTCGAACATCACAGTCTTTATCTGCCGAAAAAACCACGTCTCAGTGATACAACCCGGACAGCAGGGCTTTCCAGAGTCCACACCGTCTTACGGCAGAGCTTTACCTACTTGCCTTAAGCAGGTAAAACCTCCCCAACATAATTTCCTAACCTGATGCTCCACAGGCTTCCTGGGGGTTTATCTGCTACTACAAAGAAATCAGTCCCCAGGTACCCATCAAAACATCTGCACTGTGCCTTACCCCACCAGGCCTAGTCAGCAGCCTCCGTGGTTGTTCCCAGGACATGACACTGTCCACAGACTTTTTCTCGGTCAGGAGTCAGGCCCAAGGGTCCTCTGGTCGCCTGTCCCTTTCCCCCTGGTGTCCCTGTCCTGAAGCCCTGACTCGGCTTGCCTAAGCGCAAAGCCTGCTTGCAGTAAAGTCTTCACAATCTTGTTCTAGAAAGGAAGGGATGCACAATAACAAGCAACCAGGGCTGGCTGTAACCCGCCCCACCCGGTCAACGGCAGCTTTGGCCTAGTCCTTCAGGGTCCCTCCTGACTTTCTCCAGCGATCACTCTGAGGCTCACCTATTTCCGTGAGCCCAGCACCTGCACTGCTCACCTCTCCAAACTTCATCTAAGGGCAGCTGGCTGCTCTGTTCAGACCATGTTCCATCCTCGGTCATTCTCCCTGATTTGGAAGCAACTCTTGCTGTTCTGCAGTCCTAAGACGCACGGCAGCCTTCCTTTAACACCCCCAACTGATCTCCTCCAGAGTCCTGCCTCCTTCCATCCGTCCTTCACTTGGCGGCCAGATCACCCTTCCCAGCACGTGACCAGTCACCTCGCACACCCTCTCCCCCACACTGCCTTCGTCCTTAGGGCAGCCTGCTCCTTTCCAAATCTCCTGCGCCTCTTTAGCCCGGCCCCTCCTTCAGCAGTCTCATCCACATACACGCAATTCATACTCTCGTTCACTCTCTGATGTTTTAAAACAGTTTCTCATTATTGATTTATTCAGCAAATAACCTCCAAGCAATTTCAATGAGCCAGGTCCGGGATTAATGCTGAGGACACACTGCTGAGGGAAGCTCAGTGCATGATCTTACAGAGCTTATGACACAGCAGCTTGGCTCCCCAGGTGCTTCCTACCTGCTGTGCCCACCGCTGGAGCGGTCTCCCCACCCTCTGCAATGTACTTACTTTAGTTGAACTGGCAGGTCTCAGATTCGCTCCCCCAGCCACCCGCACCCGCCCTCACTCCAAGTAAGACAGACCCTCCTACCGCTGCGCCCTCACAGCATCTCACCCTCCTGACTGCTCAACACCCGTCTGTCCCTCTACACTGTCAGCTCCTTGGGAGCTTGGTACCGTGACCAGTACCAGAACTGAGCACATGGCCCACTCCCCTCACACTAAGCACTTAACAATGAACGGAGAAATGGGGGTGTGTCAGACAAAAGGAAGATGCTTAGGCACACTGCTGCTCACCATCGAGCCACAAGGGCACAGGACCCTGCAACTAAGCCCACAGACGTGAGCCTGACTTCTGGGGGTGGGAGGGCCCCCGAGTCTGCTTTGTGAAGGTGCAGACTTTGGAATGGCCTCCCAAAACTGCTCTGCTACAGGTTCCTCCCAGTAAATTGGGACTAATAAGCAAACAGGGCAAACAGTCACTACTGAGATGGAACCAGTAAATATTCACAAAGCTTTCAGTCATCTGGTAACCGCTGATACTTTTGCCACTCTTGTTTCCCAGTCAGCCTTAGCTTTCTAGTCCATGTAACATCACTGCCCTCGAGGGTTGCTTTCGGGCTTTTCTCTTAATTAGAAAAAGTTAATAGAGACATTTTCATTTACATTTACTGCGAAGATTCTTCAAGAAAATGTCAACCAAGGCGTGAAAGAGGGCAGGGAGAGCCTGAAGAGACCTTACCTTGTGTGCCATCTCCAGAGGCTTGCCTCCTTTGATGAGGATACCATGCTGGGCAGCCACTCCGGTACCCACCATGACCGCCGTGGGCGTGGCCAGCCCCAGGGAGCAGGGGCAGGCGATGCACAACACAGTGATGGACGTCTGGAAGGCGAACCGGATGACCACCTCTGTCTGTGAGATGTGCTTGCTGGGGCTCTGAAGGGGGAAGACACATAGGTTGAGAGAGAGTCTGGCAGTGAGAGTCTGGCAGAATCCTCACCATGGAAGGCCACCTCAGTGGGGGCGGGGGGCCTGAGGCAGCACAGTGAGCTGGGTTTAAGAATCACAGCTGTGTTCTGGCCGCCTCGGTATCACAGGGTTCACTTCATGGCCCCACGTGGCAATGTCCCAACCTTATCCTATAGGGTTCCCTCTGACAAGCAGGACAGGAACAGAGTCATACAAATCTCTCATGGGACTGAGGCACAGACTTGGGAGTCAGACCACATACTGTGTATCTGGCTCTGACGCTAATCTCACCTCTCGGTGCCTCAGTTTCCCCATATACAAAATGGAGGTGATAACACTCAGCTAGCTCATATGCTGTTTTACAGGTTGTATGAGGCAAAATACATACAAACACAAGCATACACACAGTACAACACTGGGTATAGGGGAAAGAAATGACAACTATCACATTATGATTATCATCATTATTATATAAATTTTTCAAAAACTCATGTTATCTCCAAAAAAAAATCTGTCCTAAGATGATAATCACACAATTGGGAAACACACAGGAATATTTACCACCATATGTTGTTTCTGTAATGGTAACACTCTAGAAATAACAGGGGATTAACTAATTAAGCATAATGGAACAGTAGGCAGCCACTGGAATGATGTGTATCTACATTTGTTGATATGGAAAGGGATGGAGAATTTAAAACACAAGTATGAAAAGACAAGTGCTGTGGTTTTACTCAAGTAAAATCTCCTGCCTCTACCTGGAGTAGAATGCTGGAAAGTGATTACCGAGAAACAAAAACTATGACTTTGCTTTGTTTTGTTTTGTTGCTAGGAATCGAACTCAGGACCTTGTACTTGCCAGGCAGGCACTTACGCCACTGAGCTGTATCTCCAGCCCAAAAACGATTATTTCTAGGGAGAAGTGTTGGTGCTGTCTTTATTTTATTTTCTATGTTTTTCATGAGTGTTTTCTTTGTAAAATCCAATAGACCCAAAATATGGGGCTATTTTGTAGAGGTGGTAGCACAAGTTGGTATCACTGTTTATACTCTGAGATCTTGAATTATTTTTATTTATTTTTCAAAATAGCTAGTGGCTAGGAGTCTAACAAGAAACACTACATTCAGGTAATTATAATAAATAGCACATGGTCTAAAGTGAGGTCACAGACTGCAATCTTTTTACCTTCCATCTACAACTTATTCCTTGATTTTAAAAAGCAGGATTCTAAAATAAGATAATTTTTAAAAAATAAGGTATATTCTAATTTTCATAAAATTAGCTGTATTTAGGTAAATAAGATAATTTTTTGAGAAAAAAAATGCTGCAATTTTTTTTTTTTAAACTGAGTAATTCTTGTTAATACCACCTGGCATTCCAGTGACACTGGGCAGTTTCTGGAAGTTAGTGTGAACCTTTCCTGCATGAGTTTGTGCAGCAAAGTGATGACAGTATTTTAAAGGAACATGCAGTACCTCATTTGCCAGCATCCTCCCTGATTTTGCAGATAAAAACAAAAGAAGCCAAAGTAAGATGGAAAGCATAGAATGGCAGGAAGTCACATATTCCAACTTGTTTAGAACGGAGTCTTCCCACAGCCCCACACCAATGCGCTCTTCTCCCCCCAAAACAGTAATTTTAGGTAGTCAGGTACCATGAATAGTCACTGGCAAATTCTAGGATACATTCATAGCTTACTCTGAAAAACAATGAGTCTCCTTAGATGTCAGAAAGTGTTTAACTTGCCTGTTTTCCATTTAAGATCGAAAAATCAAGGGAGAAAGTGACATCTTAGTAAATGAATACATCCTAAGAATATCTGGGTGTACCTTTACTTATATATGTAGACATTTAACAAAAAGAAAAAAATCCGTCCTGTATTTGTAGTTTCTTATTCTAAGGCTCTAAGATATGCACTATGGTGGGTTAGGTATGAGACAAGGTAAAACACTGTTCCAATATAGCTTCCTGCGGGCCACGAGGTTTTTAGGTACATCAAGGTTTTTCAGCCCCAGCACTAATGTCATCATTATCTTGGAGACCTGTCCTGGGCCTCACAGAATCTTCAGCAGCATCCTGGCTTCTCCATTCTGGGTGTATGTCACATCTGTCCCACTTATGAAAATCAAAAATGTGTTCAGATATTGTCCCTGCCAATCACTGATGCACATAAGTTTTCTGAGGGACTGCATTTTCCATGTTGTTTTCTATGTTTTATAAAATGGTATTTCCCAAGATAGAGTTCTTCATGTACCTATAAGGTTAGGTATTTAATTACTAAAAAGCTCTGGCTATACTGGTATCTTTCATCTTTCAAAAACACTGGCTTGAGAAAGTAGGAGCCTGAAGATCTTATCAGTAGATACAGATAGCAAAAACACTTTTTTTCTTAAAATGTCCTGAATAATGTTATTATGCCATCAAAATTATGAAGTGGTGTATCTTCTATAACATACACCTCTTAACCTCAGAAACAGTTGATACTACACACTGTAAATGCTTTAAGCATTATGACAATAAACTGATGTCCATGGAAATTTATCTAAGTAGGTGCAAGAGGCAACTTTACTTATACCTGTAGAAACAGGTAGAATTGATTGTCCTAATCTAATTTAGACTTTGCTGTCAATAAATGAAGGAAATAAAGAATAATGGATAATCAAAGCCCAGTAAATCTAAGATAAGAGAGAAATGGATTCATGGCAATACATTATTTAAAACACAACAAACATACCACTCAAAGCATTTAACTTACAGGAAAGTATTTCTGAACAACACCAAAATCGATAAAACCGATTACAATCCAGACCACCAACGTCAAGGTTGAAATGATGATGATAAATGGGACAAAATAGCCACTGAACCGGTCGGCCAGCTGCTGAATGGGTGCCTATGAAAAAAAAGCAGCAAGAGTGTGGGAATTACAAACGAGGGAGCCAGAAACACCACGCGGAAGGCCTGGGACCGTGTCCTCCACGTGAACTACCTTTACTAACTGATCTTTACTAATTAACTGTCTCCCTAGGCATATGAGGGAGCTGATGTCGCACAGGCTTTGAGTCTCTTCTTTACCTTTGACATCTGAGCCTCCTCCACCAGTTTCACAATCTGAGCCAAAGTGGTGTCGTTGCCCACGTGCGTGGCTTTAATGAGCACAGAGCCATGAGCGTTTATAGACCCAGCGATCACTGTGCTACCAGGTTTCTTAGTAACAGGCATGGCTTCCCCTAGAGGTGAAGAAGAGACAACTGTCACTTGCTCAGCCCCATTCCACATCACATAGTACCTGGGAATATGCAATGAGCCACCTGACCTGTGATGAGAGACTCGTCCGCCATGGTGTTGCCTTCCAGGACTTTCCCGTCCACTGGGAACTTCCCCCCAGGGACGACCTTGATGACATCACCCCGCTGCACCAGCTCCATGGGCACTTGTTCCTCTCTGCAACAGACACCCCTCGGGTCACACCCAAGCCCTTGCAGCAGCATCCCACCCCATCTAGTGCTAGGTCAGGTTCTACATCAACTGTCAGATGAGTCACACATACAGCTCACCTATTCCCCGTGAGCTCAGAATCCACAGGTTTAACCAAACATATTCAAAGCACACAGGGAAAATAAATTTTCATCTATACTCAACATGTCCACACTTTTTTTCTTGTCATTATTATCTAAGCAACAGAGTACAAAACTCTTCACATAGCATTCACATTGTGGTAGGTTTTGTAAGTCATGCGGAAATGATTTAAAGTATACAGGAGGAAGTAGGTTATATACAAACACTATGCTATTTCATATGAGGGATTTAAGTACTAGGAGATTCTGGTTGTCTGTGGGGCTCCATGGCCACTGGGGGACAGCTGTACTAGATGACAGGGCAGATGGGGGCTGTATGTGACAGGCACTGGGGCAGAGCCTGCTGGAGAGCATGGATTTTACCCTAACTCAACAGGGAAAGACCTTCCACTGGACTAACACAATCAGATTTGCGCTTCAGAAACACCACTGGCTTTAATATGGAAAAATATTTTGAAGGAGCCCAGGCTGGAAGCTGGAGGCCAATAAGGGGACTGCATCAACCACACCTGGCCCGAACAAGCCAGCAGCCCTGACCACACGTGAGGCACAGGAAGGAGCAGAAGATGACAGAGCGAGAACTGAGGGGTCAGGGGCCGACGTGCAAGGGAAAGGAAAGGAGTCAGAAGCAGCCCGGCTCAGCCTCAGGAGTGTGCCACGGAAGAGACCATCATGCATCTGAGGGGGAGCAGGAACGTGGTGATGGCGGGGGCAGGGGAATAAGCTACTGAGAGAAATCTCCCCTGGGCATGTCTAGAGACAGGCCTGACCCTGAGTTCCACATGGAGTGTGTCCCACATGTCCTAGTGACAGTCTTAACACAGTTAATGCACTAAGGAGAACAAAGGAGACTAAGCAGCAGGAGAGTGAAGATATTATCATATGTGAAAAGGTCATGCATGTAGAATGTCTCACCACCCAAACTTGGGATAAAGAAAAAGGACAGGTGTCCCCAGCAGATCCCCAAGGATCTGTCCACACAAAGAAGAGGCCAGAGGCAGTTGGGCCCTGCAGGAGGCAGAGGGGACCGCAGGCCCTGGTACCTGGTACACCCTGTATTATTGCATGGTCAGCCCCTCCAGGGGACTGTTGCAATACAAGTGGCAGAGGAAGTGGCCATGGCCCTGGGACAGTAGAGTGACCAGGAGCCTGAAGCATCCTGCTCAGGATGGTGTGCAGGAAGGACCCCTAAGCACACAGCGCAGTGTAAGTAGACCCGATCTGAGCACGCAGCCCGTCTTAGGCAAAGTCAGGATGAACTCTGGCTCCTGATTAAAACATGGTACCGTCCTGTTGTGACAGGAGTGGTCAGGTCCATAGTGCGTTCACAGGCAAAAAAAAAAATGAATCACCTTCTTCAGAAAAGAACTGAGTTATGGCAGGTGTAGCCCACTTCTCCTGGCATCTCAGCTGACTGGTGCCACCTGGCAGGATACCAATCTGCTCATGTTCAGGTCACTAAGCAGCAGAAGCTCTTTAAACTGTTGTTGGCAGAGGCAGCAGTGCAGATGGAGGTAAGGGGTATCTGAACAAATGCAGGTACAGTGGCTCTGTGCCCCTTCAAACGCTTTCACTCTTCAGAATTTTAATGTCATTAATTTATAAGAGAGAGAAAAAAAAACATGGAGTTATGGTACATGAGCCTGCAGAGCCACTGAAGCTGCTCTGTGTGTGTGTGTGTGTGTGTGTGTGTGTATGTGTGTGTGTGTGTGCATCACACAGGATGCCTGACTGGAGACAGTGTGCCATGATGGCCAACAGACTGTCCCTGGCCTCCCACAGCCTGATCTCAACTCTGCCACCTTGCATGGACTTTGGCCTCACTGAGCTCTAGATTTTTGCTAATGACAGTGGGGACAGTGACAGTGACCCTCACAGGAGGTCATCACAGTTGCATTAGGTAATTTGTGTACAGCACCTGGTGCACAGTTAGGAACCAAGTCCAAGCTAGCATGACTACAGTTACAATGATTACTTAAAAAGCAGGGTCCAGAGAAAAAGCCACACTCCTGGGCTGCAGTCCACTGGTGCCTCAATCAGAGACTCCAAGGCGAGGGCCACTACAGTTATGGACACGGGCACTGGCCACGGGGGGTAAGGGGTATGAGCTGTGTCTGTTTTCACCAGGGGAGAGTTTGCAGTCTATGTGGTAGTCAACAAAGATGGAGACGCTGAGACCAGGGAGAAACCGGCAGAGGGAGACTCCTTTCCATCCCTGTCCCCGGCAGTGGGGTGCCCCAGGAGCCCCACTGCACAGGAAGAAGGGAGGTAGCTAAGGGCACCCCATGCAACACCTCCTCTTCTCAGCAGTTGGAAGTGAAACCACAGGCTAAGAGTGCATGGGTGTGGGAGAAACTTCAGGAATGTGCAAGCAGCCGGAAATGACCACCGCCCATGTTACAGTTTATATCTAAAATGGTCCCCAAAACCTCATGTGCTTGGAAGATGACTGGATTACGGGGTGGCGTGTCTGGGAGGCTGGTCACTAGGGCTTGGCCCTCCTCAGCTCCTCCTTTCTCTCAGTGCTTCCTGATGCCATGCAGTGGCTGGCAGCTTTCCTCCACCGGGCCTCTCTGCCTGGAGCTTCCCAACCAGGCAGGCCTAAAACTTCCACCAATTATGAGCCAAAATGAACTTCTCCTTTCAGTGGCACAGAGCCTGCTTGGCAAGTGCAAGGTCCTGAGTTCGATTTCCAGTACCCTCTCCAAAAAAGTCAGTATGTGGCCAGGCATCGTGGCATGCACCGTAATTCTAGCACTTGGGAGGCTGAGCAGAAGGATCACATGAGTTTGAGGCCAGCCTAGTCTACATAAATGAGTTCAAGCCCAGCCTGCACTACAGAGTGAGATCCTGTCTCACAACAAACAAGAGTATGTGAAAGGTTTAAGAACGCAGGCTGAGCCGACAGCCCAAGTAACATCCTCATTCCTCCACTTAATTCCTATGTGACCTGGGTCAGCTGCTCAGCCTAGCTGAACCTGTGTTCTCTGTAAAGTAACAGTAGTAACAGTGCCTTCGTGATAAAGGGTTTTTCCCTGTGTGAAGGGAATTACGAGATTAATGCACAGGTTAAATACAGAGAGGCTGGAATAGTGTTTGACCATATATCCAAGCAATAATAATAATAATAATTTTAATATCAGCCTTATGAGGAAGATACTACTACTCCCATCCCACTCTTTGCTAGGTTATGCCCGAATCTCTCTTGCCTATTTGAATCCTCAGATCTTGCATATTCCATGCAACACTCAGTCACAGTCCGTGTTCGCTGTGAAGTCATCCTTGACTGCCATTAGCCTTCGTCTTCCAATTCCTGGACTCCGACTTGTTTACTCCTCTCAGCCCCCATCAGGTACACACACACCACTGCTTGCTCTTTAACTTAAAAGCTTTGCCTGTGCAATGGCTCGAAAGTGTCCTTGCCTACTTTCCAGGTCTACTGCGACGTAACTACAGGATGAGTATCTGCCCAGGGGACATGAATTGATCTTGAGCTCTACTGATGAACACAGCCTACCTGAGGATTAAGTTATCCTCACCGAGGGTCACAACTGTGGCTTCTGTGGCTTGTAGAGACATGAGCTTAGCAAGCGCTTCTGAAGTTTTGCTCTAAGAAATAACCAGAGTGCAAAATGAGAGCTACGTCAACCTAACTGTCCCGACCAGACTATGGAGGCTGCCCTACCATGTGACAAAGCCTCTGTGAGGACCGGGCCATTAATGTAGTTCTAGGAATTGCATTTCAGACTGAAAACACCCCACCAAGTGACATCTACAGTCTGTTATGGCCTGTGTCCCACCCACTCTTTCACAGGACCAAATGCAAGGGAGGGGTTTAATGCAGGAGGTTAAAAACAGTATGACCCCAGGGGGAAGTAATACCTTATATTAACACGCTCTATCCTCAGGTAGGCACCAAAAGACTAAGAGGGTTTTAGTAATTAACCAGATTAGCAGGGATTTCAGAAATAGCAACCAATTTGGAGATTAGTGACTGTGGCACCTAATTATATGGCGGTTTCAGATTTCCTAAGTCCCCATACTGTGTGTAATTAGTAATTCCCAACACAGTGTTCAGAGGGACTAAGATTTGCTTTCCTAGAGGAACAATTCTTTTCTTAACAGGAAGCCACAGCTACCTTTGCCACATGTTCTAGCCACCGTCCCAGGGCAATGAACACAAAGAGCATAGGAGGTGTGTCAAAGAATGTCACAGGACTCCGCTCGGCCTTCTCAGCAATCGCAACCACCAGGATGATCAGGGAGTAGGCATAGGCAATGCTTGTGGCCAGAACGATGAGCACGTCCATGTTGGCAGACTTGTGCCGCAGGGACTTGTAGGCCTGGACGTAGAAGTACCACCCGCCGAGGAACTGAAAGACAAGGAGAGCAAAGGCTACCAACCAGCAGGGCAGAGGCCGCGATGAGCCGGAGGCCCCAGGACGGCACTTACTCTAGGCCCGTGCACATGTGTGACATTACCTTTTCTTCAGTGACTGATATTATCAAACGTACTTTCTAATTCAGAGGGAACTAGTGGCCTGCAGAATTGGATAATTAGCAGGATGTGTAACCTTTAAAACCCAGAGCACACAATGTGAGTGTCTAACAATAAGAGAATGGGAAAAACAAAAAAATCACGGTTCATTTATCCTGTGGACAGCGCTAATCTCCAAACAGAAGATGCTGTATCCATAAACCACTGGCAAAAAGCAAGTCTGTGAAGTTAATTAAAAATGCTAGTGTACTCCACATACTCACACTTGCACTAATAAAGTCTACATATATTATGTGAGCATGCACATCACATATGTACACATGCAAATGTGTTTTCTCCACATAGACGAGATCTGGAAAGATGCATGCCTGACTCCTAATGACACTGTAGCTGTCCCTGGGAGTACGGTTCAGCCAGAGGCAGGTACTTAGTGAAAGAGTATCTTCTCCTTTGCTTCGAGTTCTTTATAAGCATACAGCAGTTTGCAAATAAAAATAAAATATAGGGGAAAATTCTGTTATAAATCTTTGCTCCTGAAAAGTCAAACTTTACATGCCACTTAATCTTGAATCAATCTGACTAGATTCAGAGATTCTGGAGAGTTGATTGGACTGTGAGGACATTAACCTCATCAGTGAGTTAACCAACTGATGAATTCATAGCTGAATGGGTTTATAGGAAGTGGGCCCTGCTTGCAAGTAGTAGGTCATGGGTGTGTGACACTGGGGACTATATCTGGTCCCCGCCTCTGTAGCTGTTTCTGTTTTCCCCTTGGCCATCATGAAGTGAGTGGCTTCCCTCTTCCACGCCCCTCTGCCATGACGTTTCAGAGCCAGCAGACTGAGGTCAAATAAACCTCAATTCCTTCAAATTGTAGGTATTAGGTATTTTGTCCCAGCAATGGCAAAGCTGACTAATGCACGTTCTAATAGTGACTCAAGAGTTTAGTTTTATGTTCCAAAATAAGTGTACAGACAGATAAACACCTGCCTGGCAAGTGCAAGGTCATGAGTTCCATCTCTGGTACCAAAAATAAGTAGATACACAGACACACACTTCCCACCAGAAACACGGCTGGTCCCTTAACACCGCCATCACAGCACACGTTCCACAAGGCCTGCTGCTGAATTACAATGCGCTCATTCATAAGGACCACATCTTCGCCTTTTCAAGACAGATCATTCAGGAGAAGCACGGGCTCTGGGGAAGCCAGCTGCTGCTTCTAACAACAGGTAAATTAACTTGAAAGTAAGCAAATCGGGGGCACACGGTTCACCAGCCTTGCAGGGAGGAAGCTGCCACTCTAGGGACTATCAATCACCTGTAGCCTACTGTGAAACTGACAGTGAAACTAGACCCTCCTTAGCCCCCACGGCAGAGGGTCTGGCCCTGTCCTCTTGATCATAAGACACTGGCTCAGGAGATACCACTGAAACCGTGCTAAAGAGCTGTGTTCAGTCTAAGAGGGAGAGTGTCTGTGGGCCACACCATAAGCACTGAGAGCAGGGGCCTGCCCAGCTTCCTAATACGTACCTGGACGAACGTACACAAGATGAAGAAGATAAGGTTCAGAATGGACAGTCCTGGGATGATACTGTGGTCCAGGACCATCGCCTCATGGGGCTCGTGGCTGGGTATTAGCATATAGATCATTAAGCCCATGACGGGGATGCCAAACACCAGGCTGCACAGGAAAGACTTCCTCCACCTGGAAGCAAGAACAGCACACAGAACTGTCAGACACCGCCACTTCAATCACAGGACAGTCCCCTCCCGAAGACTCAGTTTAAAACCTGACTTTCTCCCGTGGCTAGAACAGACCACAACCGGTTAAAACAAAGGAAGCCTCTCTCCCTAACACTGCCATTCCGGGGACAATCTAAAGATCTAAACATTGTGGCTACATAGCCTTCTTCTTCACTTGGCTGATATATGGCCTTCCATCTGTAGGTTTTGCAACTGAAGCTCAGTAGCTAAGAATCTACCCCAAAGAGGTTGACATTCTCAGTTTACAGCTGCTTATGGCTCTTTCTTCAAAATGCGTTCTTACACAACCCTCAAAGAAAAACAACAGCCAACAGCAGTATTTTATTGGTATAAGCTTACTTACACATTCAGGTTCATCAGCGGCAGGGTTTACTGAGGACTGAACCCAGGTCCTTTGCACTGAGCTACTCCCCCAGCCCTGTTTTACTTTTTATTGAGACAGAGACTTGTAAAATCACTGAGGCTGGGCTTGAATTTGTGGTCCTTCTTTCATTTCGCAGAGTGCTGGGACTGCAGACATGCACAGTTGTGCTCAGCCACCACACGTTCAACTTTTAAACAATTGCTTAAGATAGAATCAGTGAAAAGAATGAGGCTGTCCTGACGAGCACAATGTCTGCGATTAGTGGTCGCAGGGGACCACTGTGGGATTCCTATCAATGCAGCACACGCGAATCTCTAACCACACGGTTGTGGGGCCTCCTCCCTTGTTCCTCTCCTTTTCTGTCTCCTTTGCCATTCCTCCTCTTCTCTGACTGTTAATGGTGGAATGCCCCAATGCTCCAGCTTTCCATCCCTTCGCTTTTATCTTGGTGACTGCACACCGGCTCTGCCTTTACTGTGTACTCAGCCTGATGCCCAAGGATCAGCCTCCGTGGCTTTCCAGGACCCGGCCTGCCAGTCCCACCTATGGCCTGGCCCCAGAAGATGCCCTCCTCACACCACTGCATTTAGCCTAAGGCTCAAATCCTGAGTCCTCTGCTCGGAGGCTTCCTCAGCCTTCCAGAACGCGCTACACCACTGCTGTCACAGTTCCTCACTCTTTCCCTGCCCGACTACACCTACTCCAGGGCAGGGATGATGGTGTCTGTTCATCCCCAGCAGTGTCACAATGCTCTGCACACAATGGTAGTCTCCACATTAGTTGAAGGCATAGGACACTGCCTAAGACAATGAACCCCATTTTCCTGCTTCCACTCGGTGATGCAGTCTGCCCTCCCTTTCTAGCTCCAGAACCTATGCAAAAAAGACTAAAAATATTATTTAAAAAAAATTCTCCCTTTTTCTCCCCAATTTGAGCATTACCCAATTACAGCTGTCTGTTTAAAATAGTGAAAAGTCAAACTTAAAAAATTCAAGGCTGGCTGTGGTGATGCCTGTAATCCCAGCACTTGGGAGCGTGAGGCTGGAGGATCACTGCAAGACCAGACTAGGCTACATAGCAAGACCCGTCTCAAACAAAAAACCAGCCCCACAGTTACACTAGCTGCATTTCAAGTGTTCAAACACAGAAGTGCACTGCAGAGCTGTAATACCGTCATCACCGCCAAACCTCTTCAGACAGTGCTGCTTCGTGAGGATTAATATTCCAAAAAAGGCAACCAATGCAGGTGGGACCCTGGGATAGCAAGGACAAAGCACAGCAAGCACACAGACAACACAAAGACATTCATACAACATGAGCCATCGAGTCGCTGGGGACAGGAAGACAGACCGTGACACGGGGCTGCAGTGTGTCTTGGTATTCTACCTACTGCTTTATTTCCACCTTGTGGTCCAAGTGGTGAGCGGTGGGCCTGCTCTGGGCCAGGGAAGCACGGAAGCCAATCTCCTTGTTATCAAAAAGAGAGGGGTGGGGAACAAGAGGCAAGGTACTTGTTAAAACATGCACTGGCGGAGAGCACTTTACAGTTCTGGAAATGAGACAGTGAATCTCAAAATGCCTCTGGAGCTACTGGGTTCTCCTCTCACGCTGACACACTCTGTCTGGAGGTTCAGTGCTGTCTATGTTGAGAGACTGCACCATCTGTTGTGAGGAGACAGTGTCAGTGGTGACTCCTGACCCTTCTGTTGGCAAAGGCAGTGGGTTCTGGGAAGCTAACTTCACCAGGCCTCAAAGCTGACCAGTACTGCCTGATAAACTCAGAAGTTTTGAGTTCAGGAATCTCAAATGTCTTCCATGGTCTGGCAGTTTCCTTCCATTCAGAAAGAGGAAAGTCAGAGAGGTTAAATACTTTGCCCAAAGCCACAGCGTTATTCTGAAGGCCCAGAGCCAGAACTCAGGCTTCTAGGTCCAGTCGTGGCTGCCTCCCACTGGAGCTGCTCTCAGTCCCCGCAGGACTGGAAGTCAGGTTTCCCCTGTGGCCCACAGGGCCTGGGCCTAACTGTGGGCCTTTCTCATGAACAGCCCCATGTAATTCTGCAGGCACCTTGGTCTGAGCGCTGGGCTTTGACTATAAACGTACGTCAGGAAATGTCTTGTCAGACACCTTGATAAAGAAAGGGGCCTCAGAACTCTGCAGCTGAGATTCATATACAAAACTGAAAGGCAGGGTAGAGAAAAGAACCTCTAAGACTATGTAAGACAAATGCTTTACAACTAACACTAACCTAACTGAGGAAAAGATACCCCAGAGATGCAGACATGGAGGCCAAGCAATATTCCAATATTCCTCAAATGAGGAGAGGATGCTGCTGAGTGGAAGCAGGCTGTATTTGAAGCTCCTACCTAAGACTTTCCTTCCCACTCACTGCACCAACATGACTCCTTAGCCTTACACTACCATGTCATTGCTGTTCTTCAAGAACAACACAGTGGTAGAGTAGAAATAGAAAGACAGGTCAGGTATGCTGGTGCACGTCTGTGATCCCAACACTTGGGAGGCTGAGGCAGGAGGATCACCCTGAGTTTGAGGCAAGGCTAGGCTACATAGTCAGTTTGAGCCTATCCTGAACTACACAGTGAGACCCTGCCTCAAAAAAACAAAACAAAACATGAACAGAAAGACAGCTGGCCTTTCAGCTGTGAGAGCTGGGTTTGAGTGCCGTTTCACACCTGGGAGCTGGGCCCCAGGGAGCAAAGCCTTTAACCTCTCTGAGGGTCTTTTTCCTCATTTGATGAAGGACCTTTGTCTTCTGCCTTTGGGGTGGACATCATTTCCATGTCAAAAAGCTCTGCTGGGCCATACAGACAACACCTCTGTGCAAACACACATGCCCAGTGAAAAGAAAATTAAAGATAACACAGCATTAAGCAATTATGATGTTCCACTTTGTAAGCAACTTCATAAGCAGTCGTTCTCACTAATTTACCCTTACCATGAACCACCACAAGGTAATGTTGTTTGGTGTTGACTGCCTTAACCCACTCCGGTCATCTGCGATGTTTACTCTCCTGCAGTCTGGTGTAACAGATCTTAAAAGAACAAATGCTAGGTCTCTGGACAACCTGGGCGAGGGAACAGCCAGTAGCACAGGCAGGACATTCTAACTCGCTTTCCAGAGCATAAAAGATCAAATTGTCTGGCAGACAGGCCTGGCCGGGGGCAAAAAGTCGTATCATTCTGTCCGATGCCAACACTCCCTTAGTCTATTGATACCTGCCATCAGTAGACATGTTTTAGAATTATAATTAAGCAATTTAATGCTATGTACCAGATGTCTCAGCAATACTGATGCTTCTCAGGGAGTATCCGAAACTAAAATAATAACAATAATGTCTTTTTCCCCTCATCTCTTACCTGGTCATTAATATGCTTCCTCAGATAATCTGATATTCATTTACCTTCATGCATAATTCAAAAACATTATTCCATGGTAAAAGCTAATGGGTTTTAGATGAGTTTTACTTTTCCCTTCTGCCTAATTATATGTTATCATTTTCTTCAGTGATTATTTATTACTGTTTTATAAAAACTGGGTATAATTTTTCATGAATGAATTACCTCAATAATTTTGACAATATCCCGTGGGCCAATAATTTCCGGATCAAATTTCACATGGGCTTTGCTGGTGGCGAGGGCCACAGAGGCGTAGGTGATGCCATTGGTTCTGGTGAGCTTGGACTCTATGTTGTGAACACAGGAAGCGCAGGTCATTCCTGTGATCTGAAAGACAGGAAAACAAAATGCCACGGGACCAGGACTGAGACCAGGGGGGAGCCAGGTGGAGGGGCGCAGGCCTGTCATCCCAGCACTCGAGAGGCTGAGGCAAGAGGACTGCTGTGAGTTCATGGACAGCTTGAACTACATGTGAGACTGTGAGACTCTAGAGGATGGGGATTCGATGACGGGCAACCACCAGCCTCTCCCTCGGCAGAACCCTTCTAAGACTGACTCCCACCCATAAGCCCGTAAGCAAGATGCTCACCCCTCACATGCGCTTTAGGGAGATAAACAGTGGTGCTCTCCCATTTCAGGTACAGGAAGCAACAACTTTTTTGGCAGATGGCAACAAACCCAGGCTTGACTTTGGGCTCTGAGAAGAATGGACTTTTAGAAGCTCTGTTTCAGTTATCATGTCAGCAACACGGGGTAATAACTGCCTTCTAAGAATAAGGATGTGTGCCAGTGCAAAACCCTCTGAACTCCTGAAAGGCTCTATAATTTAGTCTTGCCAGTGCCTGATTTATAGAATCTGCTAAAACCCTCCTTTCCAGGGCTCTGCTGGCTCCCAAGAGGATGACAGCAATGCCTCATTAGCAACTGGAGAGCAGGTTTCGGAGTGACCAATGGATGAAAAGGAATCTGGGGGCGTCTCAAAGTATGGAGGGGGTGCTGACAGGTGAGGGGCAGAGTAACATTAAACAGAAAGACACAAGGAATGATGGTGTGAGGTAGAAGGTCAGGTGGCCTGCAGCCAGCAGGACCAGCACAGGGCCTGTGGAAGAGGAGGGAACCTGCAGTGCTGGCTGGAGACTCCTGAGCACAGCCAAAAGTGACACTAAGCCAACACCTAATGCAAAGCCACTGAGCAGTAACACGAACTGACCATCTGGAGTTAGGGAAGGAGCAGTGGGCTCATTAATTGGAACACATTATCCTTAGCAGGAGACCAAGAGCAGTAGGAAAAAAAAGAGGACTATCACACAATTAGGAGCTAACCGACTGGCTGGTGCCTGCAATCACAGCATCTTACCATGTTTCAGTGGTGCGCCTCGGCTCGCCTGTTTTTGAGGTGATAATAAGAATTAGCACCTGTGAAACACTTGCAATGTGCCAGGTCCTGTCCTAGTGCTGCACTGCTCTCCGTACTCTGCGAGGCAGATCTCAAAACCATAAGGATGACAGGTGTAGTACTATGTCCCAAGTCACACAGCCAGCGAGGGGCAGAGCAGGAGCCTGTACCAGAGAGCTGGGCTCCAAAGTGTGCCCTGGGCCACTGCTGCGTGTTGCGAAGAGGTCTTCACTGACTAGCCTAGGCTGACACATGTCCCTGCAGCAACAGGGTTAGAACTCACAACCAGCCAAAGCCTGAGGCGCTCCTGCTCCACCGTGTGCTACACCCTCACATGAGACAAAAAGACCTCTGGAGTGCAATGCGCCATTCTTGGGATACGGACTAGACAAATCAGACAACTCACTTTTGTGGTCAGCACTTCCTAGAATACTAATTAAAACAGAAGCTCACATAAAACGTCTGTGCTTACATTTTAACTACTGATACCTCAGAGTTTTAAAACAAACACTATAATAAAAAATATTGGTTCAAAGAAAGCTTTTCCTTTTCCCAGTAACAGTCTTGACTTAGATTTTCCACCCAGAGGCCTGAGTGGGACAAGATGCCCGTGTGTGGACCTGGAGGCTTCTCACAGGCCTAATTCAAGTTGTAGCCCAGTGAGGATTAATCTGCCCCTCGACACGCAGGGCTCTGTAGAGCCGAGGTTTGTTACACAAGAGACCACCCTTTGCAGGAGCTCATTGTATAGCTCATGGCCTTGACGCATTCTTCAAACATTTACTTAGCACCAATGGCGATGAATAAACATTTAAGCAGGTAAAATAGCATTACTCAGTTCTGTTGTGGTTTCTCTTGTCTCCATTTTCATAAAAAGAGCTTTTGATAAAGTACTTTCAAAGTGTGCATTCTGTCAATAACAGAATCACCTGCTGTTTTCCATGATTTGTCCTGGAGCAGCCATGCTCCAGGACAGACACGAGGCCTCCCTACTCTCACCACCCACGACATTTCCCTCAGATGAAGTGTTCTGGGATACTAGATCCTTAATTATCACATGCCTAGGCGAAGTCCTGTGCACACTGAGTTGTTTTCGCAGGGCTGAAGGGCACGAGCTGGGCAAGTTCTCTACCCTCCATCTTTGAATGGCACTCACCCCCCCCCAGAGACCTATGTCCTGTGCCTAGAGATAAGTGCACACAGATGAGCTTCCCTGTAAACTTGAAAGACTGTGTGCGCATTCAGCCTCCCCCAACCAGCCACACTAGGGACAGCCCATTATCTGTGCCACTTTTCCCCCCGACTCCTGCACCCCGCCACCTCTTCCTCCTCATACCCTGAGCAGCCTTACTGAGACTGCCTCCTCTGACTTTGTGATACAACTGATTTTCCTTTACGAAATAGACAAGTCATTGCCACTAGCTTCCAAGGGGAAGAAAAGAAAAAAAACCTGACAACCGATAGGGTAAGTCCAAGATGGAAGACACTTACTGATCGTAAGAATGACTGCTGTCAGAAGCTCTCCCATAAACCATATGAAACCTGCACCCCATGAGGCAGCCACTGTACTTACAACCAGCTCAACATCGCCATCTGACCCTGCATTGTCCTCCATGACCGCTGCCTCAAAGCCCAGGGCCTGGATGAGCTGGGTGATCTTGGGCGGCTGGATGACCTCTGGATTATACTTGACCTCTGCCTTTCCTGACATCAAGGCAACCAAGACGGACAGAATACCTGGAAACATCAGATCACAGTTCAGATACTCTGGGCAAGGTTTCAGAGATGACACAGTCAACGTAGTCTAACACAGAAAAATGTTATCCCCAGAAGCCTCTAGAGCAGAGTTTCTCCAACTCAGCAGTACAGGATGATTAGCTGAGGAGCTCTGGCAATTCAGTGCCTGCTCCTAACCCAGAGCAAGCAGTCAGAATCTCTCAAGGTGGGTAGGTGTTGCTTTTTTACAAATGTTCTCTAGATGATTCTGATGTACAGTCAAGTTTGAGTACCATTCTAAAAAGCAAAAAAAACCTTGGCTGGACATGGTAATGCATGCCCAGTGCATGGTAGTGCATGCCTAGTACTTGGGAGGCAGAGGCAGGAGGATTGCTGTGAGCTTGAGGCCAGTCTGGGCTATAAGGTGAGTTCAAGGCCAACCTGAACTTCATGGAGAAACCCTTTCTCAAAAAGACAAAAGAAAACAATGCTTCTCAAACAATAATGGGGACATAAGTCATCTGAGAACTTTGTTGAAATAGAGGTTTCAACTCAGTGAGTCTGAGATTTTAGATATCTACTCAGCTACCAGTGATGCATACATAGGTGGCCCAAAGACCACACTGAGTTAGGCTTTCAAACACTGCGTGGCTTCATGAACATCAAAGCAAGGACGGTAGCATGAGCTCCCAACCACTGTTACAGGAAAGATCTGCTTTCTTTCTCCAGACAGTCATATAAGGAAAAAATAACTTTCAAAAATGGTTTTATTATTTCTCAATTTCTAATGACTTTCACCAATGAAAAAGAAATTCCACAGATTATCCTGCTAATACTGTTGTGTTAGTTGGGGGAGGGAGGTGCTACAATCAGGTAAATGAAAACAATGATGTGCTTTAGAGAGTATAGAGATGAAAAGAAGGGATCAGACAGGTAGAGACAAGCATAATAAAATTACAAATTATTCTTATGAACAGCAGGTCTGTAGATAACGAAAGAACTCCTGTAGCACCTCAATTTAAGAATAGTCATTCTATAACTCCAGGTGGTTTTAAGGCACAGTGAGAGAGGCTGGAGAAACATGTCTTCCTAATTGAGAGCTGAGGCTAAGGGTTAGGGATTCAGAGCACAAAGACCCTGGAGACTGCGCGATGCTGAAAGGAAATGATTTCTGGTACAGAGATAAAGTCATGGTTAAACTACTTCCAAACCAAAAAAGGGGGCAGGCCAGGCACACTTGTAATCCCAGCTACCTGGTCAGGTGAGGCAGGAGGATCACAGGTTCAAGGTCTGCCCTGGGGAACTTAGCAAGACCTTGGCTCAAAATAAAATTTTAAAAAAGAGTGAAGATATTGCTCAATGGGAGAGCTCGCCCAGCATGTTTGAGGCCCTGGGTTCAATCCCCAGTACTAAGAAAAGGGCGCAGGACTGGTGGCTCAGTGGTAGAGCACTTGTCTAACATGTGTTGGCCTGGACTCGATCCCCAGTACCACAACAAAAGAAAAAAGAGAGAGAGAGGCAGCGAGACACAGAAAGAATCAGAAATGTAGTTTGAAGGACAAAGCATTGTTATTTCCACAAAATTCTGGTTACAGAAACAGCGAGACAAAATACTTGAAATACAAACTCTATAAAAAACACATTCTATTTATTCATTTTGTAGAAAAGAGTTGATGAGACCGAATAATTCTAGAAAAGCTAATGAGTAAGTCAATCCATAGACTGTCACATGACCTTTAAATTGGATTTTCCATGGCTAACTTATTAAGAGATACATTTATACTACCATTTCATGAATTTGCTACCAGATTTGCCACGGCTGCTGCTGAATGCAGCCAAGAGTGACCCTGAAAGGAAAACACCAGTCTCCATGCAGCATTCTCAATCCACCCGGGTGTCTGTCCACCTCTTACCAGCTTCCTTCTGGAGATTCCTTTCGATGTGAGACACACAGGACGCACAGGTCATGCCTTTGATCTGTAAAAAGCACTTCTGTGCTGCTGCTGTCCCAGTGGGTTGTGGGATATCTGATGAGGAGCCGGGGCTGTGGTTTCTAAGGGGTCCCCTGGCTTGGGGTGCCACTTCCTGCACGGACACAGGTGGGTCATCCAGGGCTTGCTGCACCTGCTTTCCCGGGTTCCTAGCGCTGTGGTCTACAACATGGTTGGTAGAATAGTTTTCTAGAATAAAATAGCAGAAATAATTCAGGTTAGAAGACCAAATAGTAATTTGTTTTTCGGAGCAACAAGTTTAAGCCCAACAGTATTCATATTAAAAGTTCCTACAGAGGCAAGGTGGGGATTGGTATTTCTGTCTGTCTCTGCTTCCCCACAATCAGAAACACAGAGAGGTGCACAATTAGAGAAACACAAAAACATGTCTGCTTTAGGGATGAGTGTTCTAGGTGGGCAAAGAGCAGGACGATGATATCAATAACTCACAAGACTTTCTACTAAGCCTTTCCTTGTATGATTCCTTTAGTCCTTAAAATAACCCTATATGGTAAATGTTATGAGGAAATGAATTACAAGAAATTAATACGTCCTGAAGCAAGATTTAAATAGGTTTATCTCCAAGCTCTGTTTCTTTGACCACACTGCATTGTTGTTAGCAGCTGCTCTGGCCGCTGTCTTTTCATGAGAATCATACTTTTATTGAGTTGTTTGCCTTTTTCTCACTATTTGTGTAAGTTCTCTATATGCTGCGGATACAAATACTTTGTCAATTGTATGCACTGCAAATAACTCTTCTAGCTTGTGGTTTGTTTCCCCCTTCTAATTGTTTCCTTCAGTAAACAAAGTCCTTTATGCTAATGAAATACAATATTTCGATCCTTTTTTTTTTTAATGGGCAGTACTTTTTGTGTGGTTTCTTTTTCTTTATTTCTTTCTTTTTTCTTTTTTTGTGGCATTAGGAATTAAACCTAGGGCCTTCACACTAAACTACATCTCCAGCCTTTAAAAAAATTTTTTTGTTTATGTTGTGCTTTCTTCATAGATGTCTACTTCAATATTGCAAAAATATTTATGGCATTTTCTTCAAGAAGCTGTACTCTTCTAAATAACTTCCACATCCATTTCAATTACATTGTGTTTACAGCACAAATTAAAAATCAAGGTTAATTTCTTTCCAATTATGATCCTGTTCCACAAACTGCAAAAGACCATCCTTTCTTCACTGAGTTCCAAAGGCATCTTTCCATTTATTAGGAGACTGCACAGGCATGGACCTAATTCTGGGCTTCCATTGTGTCCACTAGTTTTTGTTTTGTTTTGTTTTGTTTTGTTAGTCTATCTAGTCTTTTTTGGGGGGAGGAGGGGGTAATAATTTACTTAGAATAAGATATACAATCCCATGAAATCTCCCTCTTGTTATGTGTTCAATCGGTTTCCCAGTGCTACTGTAACAGGTCACTACATGGTTAGTTGCTTAAAGACCACCACGTATTTATTATCTTATAGTCCCAGTTATAAATGTCACATGACTTCCCAGGCTGAAATCAAGGTGTCAGAGCGCCATGACCTTTAGGAGGTAATGGGGAAAATACGTTTCCTTGTTTTTTCTAGCACCTAAAGGTCACCTGCATTCCAGGTTCATGATTTCATTCCCCCGTTGCTAAGTTAGCAATGCTCAGTCTCTCTTCAGCTATCCGGATCACTTCTCTAATTCAGCCAGGAAGGGTTTTCCACTTTTAATGACTGATGGGATTCAACTCAGTCCATTTGGCTAATTCAGCATCTCTCCACCTCAAGATTCACTCCTTTCATCCTATCTATAGGGTATGATCCAAAAACATGGTTGAATCTCTAAATTTTGAAAGTTTATTACAGTAAAAGACACATCGCTATTAATCCCCAGCAGAACCCTGCCTCTCTTGCTCAGGACACACTTAACCCATGTTTTGTGACATTTTTTAAGCAGTTCTAAAGTCCTCCTTCATGAGTGTCTTTAGTCACAGTCTCCTTGATATCTTGCAACAATTCAAAATATTTACCTTTCATGGTGATTTTAACCTTCAGAAAGAACCAAAGGTCTCACACAGGGTCAGAACCATGGATAAGGACACGCCACTGTATTCTTTGAATGGCATTTGGCAGCGGCATTCATAAAGACACAAAGGAAACCTTCTAGAACTGCTGTAGGAGTTGGCAAGAACAATGAATACGTGTAGTCAAGATGAGGGAGAGTATTTTGAGAGGGACTAATAGCAATGTGTCTTTTATTACAATACTTTTTAAAATTTAAAGTTACACTTATGTTTTGATCAGTCCTTGTACAAAGGTCCCTCAGCCTTGTAAGGTGACTTATTCACAGGCTCCAGGGATTAGGGTGTAGATGACTGGGGGCCTCCATTCTGCCTGCCACATAAACACGCACCACCATTGAGGCCAATATATGACATTTTCACTGCTCCGGAAACTCACACTATTTTGATAACAAAATACGTACCTCTCAAAGCACGTGGAAAAGATAACTATCCATTTAATGATGGACTGTCATTGTTCTAAAACTGAAGCTACAGGAGACAGAAAGACTAGCAGTGACCCATACAATAACAGCCTCCGACTGCTTTAACTTTTCTTTGGAATGAATCCCCTGCACACACCCCCCTGAGGAGTGTGGCTGATTGACAGTCGCAGCCCTTCCAGGAAGCCCCTTTCTTTAAGGCCCATCTCCAGGGTTTCCTCCCCATGGCTCAGTTGGCTTTTCTGCTCTGTTAGTACTTCTGTGATTATTCCCTGCAGTAAAATAGAGCTACTGGGCACTCATCAGAGCTCCTTCCTCTTTCCTCCTCCCTAAATGCCTACACTATGCTGGGTGCCAGTGAGTCCAAGGAGACTCGAACCACACAGATCTGAATCATCCCCCGTGAGCTCCTAATCACCCAGAGAGACAGATCAAATACCAATAAAACCTCCTATCACTTAAGAGGTTACAAATGCTGCTCACCAACACACTAATGGTTTGTCCTAGATTAAATCTGCCAGCTAAAATATAGAATGTCCAATTAAATTTTAATTTCAGATGAACACAAATCATTTTTAATGTAAATATATATATATTCATTCAATGCTCATATACTTAAAAAAATCAGTTTATATGAAACTCAAATTCAACTAGGTATCCTAATATCTTTTATTTGCTAAATCTGATATTCTGTTGCACTAAATATAATTCTGCCCAATAAAAATTACTTTTAGGTTTACTCAGTCAACTCCAAATCTCTTATAACATGTAGTTAAATGCTCATTTCTTTTTTACTACCCATAATCTAACTATTGTTGAAAGACTTTAACCCGCCCACAAACACAGCAGCTGCTGATCCCATACTGTATTGCTCACCTTTTGAGTACAGGGTTTACTGTTCTATTGTGTTTTCCTTACTGCTTTTGGCTTTTATTTCTTCCTAGGGGTGGTAAAGTGAGGACACCTCCTTCCTGAAACTTGGTGCCAAGGAAAAAGAATGTGGCCAAGTCCCTTGAGACTCATCCAGTCCCTTCGGTGGTGGGTGTGCTGTGGACAGAAGGACTCAGCCAGGTAACCCACTGCAGCAGACTTTTCTAGGACACAAAGTCTTATCATGGTGAGCAGAAGAAATGGTGTGGGAAACCAACCCCATCAGCCCTGGGTGCTGCCTGGGCCTTGGCCTCTGGGATCACAAGCCACTCTTCCTGAGCTAGACACTGACCCTGCAGCAGGGACTCCAGCCTCAGAGCTCTGTGGCCACCACCTTCTAGTATTCTTCAGATTCACAAGACACACAAGGCTAGAGCAGGGTGTTAAATGGTAAAACACTCACACCACAGAGCTTCCCGTCAGCAAACACGCCTGTAAGTACTCGCATCTCAGTACCCCCAGCCACTTGGGAGGCAGAAGCAGGAGGAGGATGTGTTACAGACTGCTAAGTTAGAAATATTACATGCAGTTAGACAGGGCTAGATGCTCAAGGGAGCCAGTGCTGAATAGGAGAACACAGCCAATCTGTGGCTGCAGTGCCTCTGAATATTAAAATCACAACGGCCAGCTCTACATACTTCCCTGAGGGATAAAAGGAAGCTAGAGACTCTTGGTAACACCCTTTTGAGATTTCTTATATAAATAAACTATTATCTCATTAGGGATGGGCCATCCTCTCCTTCCCACTACAAGACTAAAACGACTAAGATTCCTAACCTTAAAACTAAATAAGAGACTAAGACTATATATTATTGATCAAGGTTAATAATGTCATCCCTAAGTTCATACTACTAGTAGATCAATACTACCTAAATGACTATACTTGTAACCTTATTGATTGATTATAGTTTTGACCCAGGTTGTACCCACCTCTTGATTTTGTTCTATAAAATTTCCTTTGAGGAATGGGCTCATTGGCAACCCATTCAGAACGCTTTTTGTCTCTCAGGAGCTGTTCCTATTCCCTACTCCTTTTCCCCAATAAATTTTCCTCTTTTAACCTGTGTTGTTGCTTAGCATTCATTCTTCAACTTTGGGGAATGCGACTGGGCATATCAGATGTTCAGCAGGTTGGGAGTGATGCTGATTTCCTCTTTATCATTTGGAGGTCCTACATCAATGTGAACCTAAGAGTTTCAGATCAGTCTGGGCACTACAACAAGACCTCACCTCAAAACACCCCTCCCCTGCTTTTCTCCAGCCTCTCTGGAATACCCCTACTTTTCTTTTCTAAGCGCCTCTCTACCCTTCCCTGACCTAAGCTACTGGTAGTTTCCTTGCCCGCACCATGCTGCAAACTAAGCCCCCACCTCCCCATGTACTGAAGCAGCTGCTGCAGCCTCCCACGGCTTACCCCAGCTGCCCCTAACAGACTCTTGACGCCTGCATCTGTGCACCGAGGTACTTTCAGGAGGCCACCCTCTCTCTCCTCTAGCCTCCTCTGGGAGGTTCTGCTCCTGTGTGCCTCCCCCCACCCCAGCTTCCTCCTCTTCTCCTGTCACTCTGCTATCTCTGCCTTACTTGGGCTCCTACACTCATATCTGCATCTCCAGCTCACAATGTCCTCCAGCTTCTGGGAAGGGTTAATCAGGCTCGGCCTCTCTGCCGGGGTTCAGCCTCTGAACCTGCACTTACCAGCTCGGACCTCCACCCTCTGACCTCCTGAGCCCAGAACCAGCCTCCGTCCTGCCCTGGTCCCTCTGAGTTCCTCCACCACTTCCCCAACGCACTGCCTCTTTGGGATGCAGGCCATTTCCTCTGCTCCTAACATTGCTGGTCCTCCCTTCTCTGGTCTGCTTCCACACCTCACTCTCATGTAGCCTCCTGAAAAAGCCAAGGCCCGGCCCCGCACAGGCCTCATCCTGCTGAACAATGATGGTTTACTCTCCCTTTTGCTCTATAACATAAATTCAAAAGACAGAGACTATCTTCCCTATGCAGTAGCCCCTCAATTAGCACAGAACCTGGCATATGGGAAATGATGCTGCATTGGAGACTAAAAGAAAGGAAACAAAACAGGCCAGAGAATGAGCAGGAGAAGGAAGAGGGACGGCCACTACTTGCTTTGTGAAGACTGTTGTCCGCACTCTCCCAGCCCTCTACCCTCCCAGCCATCAAATGGAGAAAGGGAAATCATTGTTAAGGCCTTTCCTTCCTTCCAACTTAACCAAAATGGTCTCTGGGTCTTGACACTAAGATTCTGTCAGTTTTGATATTTCATTTTGCTTAGCAGAGAAACCTTCGGAGAAAATAAGAACAGTTCCTTTGGTCAGAGAAAGGCCTGAACTGTCACAGTGATCTTTCACAGAGAATCAGAATTCTCTCCAGAAAAGAGGGCCCAGTCCAAAGAGTTCAGCACTTAAGTGCCAGCAACATGGGAGACAATTCCATTCCTCCATCCTTATCATTTTTATAAGTAAGGAAGGGTTACAGAATCTTGTTAACTGTCAACACATGAAGCAAGGAATAGTTCCACTCAGGAACTCTGTTATAAGACACCAAGATACAACCTGGAACATGCTTCAAACGTGTACCAACTACATACCAGGAACCACCGAAGCCTCAAATCCCATATCTTCTACAGCAGCTCGGAGTTCCGCAGGGCTAATTATAGAGGGATCGTGGAGGACTGTTGCAGTTCCTTCAGCCAAAGAGACCGAGACTCGCTGTACCCCTTCCCGCTGGGAGAGCACACCTTCGATGGACTGTACACAGGACGCACAGGTCATGCCGGTGACGCTAAGCACTGTAGAGCTACCCCGGCCCTGCACCTGGCTTCGCTCGGGAGAGCCAGGGGAATGACAACTGGAAGGCTCGTCACCTGCTCCACTCCCTCCTGCTCCGTCGGGAAGAGAAACTTTAAAGTTCCCAGGTGGAAGCGCCTCAATGGCCCTCTTTAGGGACTCAGGTGTGACACAAGAAGGGTCATACAGTACTTCGGCAGTTCTGCTCTCCAAGGATACTTGAATATGCTGAACCCCTGGCAGTTGGCCTATATTTCCTTCAATATTCAAGACACAAGACTGGCAGTGCATTCCATCTATTCCTAGTTGCAGGGTAGCTGTGTGGCTTCCTTGGGTCTCAGAGTTATTGAAATTCTGGTTAGCAAAAGCCGATGTTCTCTTTGGGTTAGCACTTTGCAACCGGCCGATGTCAATTGGTCCCAGACTTAAGGGAGCCACTTTGTTCTTGATGGAGGCTTCAAATCCCATGTCACTGACATGGTCCCTGAGGTCTTCGGGTTGAATAAGATAAGGCTGGTAAGTGATAACTGCCTCTTGGTTGCTGAGTGAAACTTTGACTCTTACTACGCCGTGCAGTTTCCGCAGCTTGCCTTCAATGGAGTTGATACAAGACTGGCAGGTCATGCCCTCCACCCGCAGTTTGACGACTGACTCTTGGGCTAACAAAGTCCTCAGAGGCCAGGAGGCAGCCTTTCCTTCTGCAATGCTGGCTTCAAAGCCCATGTCCCCAATTTGGTGGCAAACCTGTTGGAGGCTGATGACTGATGGCACATATTTCACAGTTGCGTTGCTTTGTTCCAAGGAAACCTTAAAGTTCACGATGCCCTTCAAACCAGAAATCTTGCCTTCGATGGACCTGACGCAGGATTGGCAAGTCATGCCCAAAATGCCAATGGTGCTGGTGACAGTCGGCGAAGGGCACAGGCTGTCCACACCCCCTTCGTAGCCGATATTGTCAAAGGCAAAACTCTGCTTCATTGCTTGTTTCCAAGAGCGAGCAGGAAAAGGAAGTTTAGGTAAACTCTAAAAGAAAAAGAAATAATACTTTTTTATCCTTAAACTTAAGTAGTTTCTACAATATCCTTATTTCCCTGCACTAAGAAAATGGAAAACAACATCACTGGTATCAAAATAAACCAAGAGTACAAGAACATTTATAGACATATATATATATTTTTTAATCTCTATTAGTTTGTCAAAAAAATTTGTGCTTTCATTGTTCGATTGTTTGATCATTTTTATGCCTATATTTTATAACCTGAACAACTACTTTGAAGATAAAATATGCACTACATTAACCAGTGTTAACCTCCTACTAGTTTGTTTAGAAATTCCATATTGTTTTTATTCTTTTTTTTGTTTTAAAATTTAAAAAATGTTAAATGCCATAAAGGAAAAAAATTAAAAGACCTCATTTAAAAAATGCACAGGCTACAGAGGTTCTCTTTGGCTCTGACATGCAGTGATTCTGTACCTAGAAGTCAACTGTCTGCCTACTTTAGGGAAATGTCTCTTTCCCAGTAGATAACAGAGATTTCTGAAGGAGAAAAGGACAGTGGTTTAATACACAATATAACATGGCCAGCCTAGGACAGAAAACACAGTGCACCAGACACTCATCTCTAGCTAGTACCCAGAATCCCTCATCAGTAATAGTATGTGCTTCAGAAACATGGGAACAGGCCTTTATATATAACACATGATTTTAAAAAAAATGTTTCTCTCTACTCATGGACAATGCACTTTATCATCAGATGACTCTTAATTATGTGAATTGAGCTTGTCCACATTCCTGCACATACAAATGAGGATCTTTCCAACTTTGGCTTTTAAGCATCTTTCAAGATAAAACTTTATCTTTTAAAATGGAAGCTAAAGCTGGACATGGTGACGCACACCTATAATTCAGGAGGCCGAGACAGGAGGATTGCTGCAAGTTCTAGGCCAGCCTGAACTGCATAATGAAACCCTGTCTCAAAAAGACAAAATAAATAAGTAAAGGGGCTGGGGATTTAGCTCAGCGGCATAAGTGCCTGCCTTGCAAGCAGGCAGTCGTGAGTTCGATCCCTGGTACTGATAAAAACGAAAACGAAAAAGAAAAAAGAAAAAATAAAATAAAATAAATAAATAAATAAGTAAATGAATTAAATTAAATGAAACTATAAATATTCATTTGTAGCTCCACAAAGAAAACCATAAGCTATGTTGGGATTGATAATTATAAAGAATTTCAACTAAGTTTCTTGAATTCAACAAATATAATGAGATTATCTGAAATATAAATATGGAATACAGCTTATGATAAAGAAGACCTGGAATAATAACATCAATGTGAAATGATTAATACAAACAAATTACTGGAAACTTCAGAAACATTTATTTGTTGTTTTTTTTTTTTTTTTTTTTTTTTTTTGGTACCAGGGATCGAACTTGAGACCTCGCACTTGTCAGGCAGGTGCTTATGCTACAGAGCTAAATCCTTGGCAGAAACATATTTGGAAAAATAAAAATTTGAAACCTATACATCGAAAGACATTTCAAACAGATCAAATGTCAAAATATGAAAAATGAAATAATAAAAATACTAGAAGAAAACACAGGACAATATTTATAATAATCTCAGAGCAGGAAACGTCCTAATATGATAAACAAAAATAAGAAACCCAGCAGTTATAAAATAGAAGGCTGATATAAAACTGATAAAGATAAACAAGGAGAGGGGAAAAAAAGACTTGCTTCAGATAGCATATATGAATATACATTTTTATTATGGCATTTTCCCGCAGCCACTAGCTATGAGATCTCTACCTAGCTATACGGAGAAGTTACATAAAGAAGAAAAAGGACAACAGGAAAAGGAAGAAGGAACGTCTGGGGGCAGAGGGGCCTTCCTGGAGAGCAGTGTTAGACAGTCTCTTACATAACAATTCACATACCACTTAACCCAGCTTCTACTTCTAAGAATTTTGCCAATATGTATGTGTCCAAAAGGAAACATCCAACAAAAGATTAGAAACACAAGTTTTTATCAGTAAGTCTGGTTAATTACCTTACTTGTACAGTGGAATACTGCCCAGCTCTTAAAATGAATGAGGCAGCTCTGTATATTCTGAGAGATCGCTACCTAATGCACTGTTCAGTGAAAAAAACAAAGCACAGAATACACAGTATATATAGCATATGATTTAGTTATCTGTTGCTACATGACAAATCACATGGAGTGGCTTTTACAGCTGCTCATAGATTTTCAATTTGGACAAGGCTTAGTGAGGAACGCCTGTCCTTGCTTCACACAGCATCATCTGGGGCAGCCTGGAAGGGCAGGAGGTTCCACAGCCCACAGTGTGGTCCTTTATCACGTGGCTGTCAAATGATGCTGGCTGCAGTGGGAGGCTTACTGGGGGCTGTAGGTAGCTCCTCTTTTTCTTCCATGTAACTTCATCATGAGACTAGAGATCTCATGGCTGGTGACCCCCAGGCTCTGCCACAGTAACAAGCATTTCCAAAGAACAGGGCTCAGCTTGCTGGCACTTAACCAAAGTCCCAGATCCAGTCACGTGGCCAAAGAGTCATGTGGAAGACACATAGGGCACGAACATAACAAGGTGCAGCTTGTTGGGGAGGTCATCAAAAGGAGTCCATTGGGGCAAGTGTCTGTATGAAATGAGATACTAAACTACAAACACATCACCTCTCAGACAATGTGTTAAGAAGCCAGTAGTACATTTGGGTAGCAATGGGAAACTGAAGGGGTCAGGTGGCTGACACACAAGGATAAACAAAATCATTTGTATGGTACAACTTGGTGTACAATGCACCTGCTTTATATCATTCTAAAAAATAACTTTAAAATCAAAATACATGTTTCCAACAGCCCAAAGGAGATCCAGAACAGCAACTCAACTATAGTTGATGTTAACAAAATACTGATTTAACCAAAAAGGAACGAAGGATGAAAGAACAACTAAGAATATATATAAGCACATCACATTCACTTTCACATACTATCTTAGTAAGTAGAAACTGTCTTCTTACACTAACACATAACCCTCAACCATTTAGTCTGCTGAATTTAGCATGTCCTGCTCTAGCCATAACTTACCAAAAACCAAAACACGATGTTAATTTTCAATCTTTGGAATGTTGATTCTATGTTCTTACCAAAAGGATATGTAGAAGTTATTTATCTACAACAAACAATATTGAAGAGGCCCCTCTTTTTAGATGAGAAGGTTTCTAATGACAGGGAGTTAAGGAAGACAAAGCTTTGCAAGTCATACTTCTTTATGAAACAGCTGAGTGTCTGTTGGTAAGGAACAATACCTTGTTTAGTGTCTGAATAGTTTTTAAGTGTAAACACATGTTGTATCTATGCTTTTAATTCAATTCTTCAATTAAGACGATTTTTGGAGAGGAATAAAAACCTCCTGAGTTTTACATAAAACAAACACATCTGAATGAAGGACTTATCAGACAACCATCGGATTGGACAGTGTGCCCAGGGAAAGCCTGGCAGAGGTCCATCCCATGCCACATTTCACTAGATTCTATGCTCCCTGAGAATATTTGGGACTCTTTCTGCAGGCCTAACATGAGGCTGGAGAAGAACTTTTGCTAGACTTTGAATTTTTAATAAACTATTAATAAGACAGACATCAGGATTAGAACAGACTGGAAACACAAGAGGCCACAGAGGGGCCAAATATGATGATTTTTTTTTAACCACCTTTCTTGATACAAAGTCACATGGAATTCGCTGAATGCCAGGGCTTTCCACCTATGGTGGAGCAGACCACCAGCTGCGGGCACGGAGGAGACAGTGTATCATGCCAGAGTGCATGAGGGAGCAACCCTAGTTTTCTGGAAGTCTCCATACCTTCTCAGGTCACAGAGGTCTTTTGCGCTGACTGCTGTAGCAGGAGAGCAGAGGAAAAACCACTGAAATAGTTCCCAATGTTTATTCAAGGCTACAGACCAACTTAAATTACACAACTGGGATTTTAATCCAGCTCAAAAGTCTAGCAGGTTCTGTATTAAAAAAACAAAAAAACTTTTTATTCATGCTAACTATAGGAAAAGACTGCAATGCAGAAAACTTAACATGGAAGAAACAGGCATATCCTTCCTGCCAGCTGTAAACAGGGCTACCAGGCTGGCAAGTGGAGCTGTCTAAACCTGCTCCCTGACTTCACCCCTTACATCTGTCACCTCAGCAAAATGACAGCAGGAGATCAGCACTTGTTCTGCTTTCCTTAATACACAAACTACAACTATGCTTGAGAAAACCACACTTACCCAAGAAGGCAGGGCACAGGAAGCAGGACCAACGGTTCCTGGACTACACAGGACATTCTGGATACCTTGTGTGTGAGGCACACTCTTGCTCAGCCTTATCTAAGAATTCTCTACACGTCCCAGATTTGGGAGGAGAGAGGGCAAAGAAAACCACTTGACTGAAGACAGAATCCCACCGAGAACTGGGAGTGAATGGCTCAACATAAATTATACTGTAATGATGGATACATTGTGTCAACTTGAGTCTAGAAGTTTAACTGAAAGACTCAGCAGGGAGCCGGGGTCCTTACTTTATAAACATCCTCAGCCTGTGCAAAAGGAGGTCACAGAGGTGATGAGTGCTACCTCCACTCCAGGTGGGGTGCAGCCTGCTTACAGTAGAAGGGAAGAGAAAGGCTTGTTCTCCCACTTTTGCTCTTGCTGCTTTTGCTGTCTTCTGCAGCCTTGAAGTGTTGCCATCCTGCCCTGGAGCCAGCTGGTTATGGACTGAAACCTCCACAAACTGTGAGCTAAATAAACTCTTCCTTCCTTAATTTTGGGTGTCATATTTTGTCCCATCCATAAAAGTAAAGTAACCAAAACACATGCATGTGAAACGAAGGAAGGAAGGAAGGAAGATAGACTGGTTCTTATACAAGCCACCCCAGTGATGGGATGGGTGTCAGTCTCTAAATTCTCCACTGAAGAAGAATCCATGCATACGAAGATACAGGTGTATATACACTTAT